TATCATAATTATTCTGAAGTATATGTATATTATGTGTGTTTAATATACACATTGTGCGATAAAGCAAATTAACAATTATGTGGATGTCATTGGGAATTGGGATTTTCTGTATGGAAGTGATATCAATGTAAAATTGATGAGACTAAGTAAAAGCTGTAGTCCTGAATTTAAATTGGACTTTTCAGTATTAATTCATAATTCATTTTATATATGTGTATGTATTTCCTTGCTCTATCTACTTAAAAAGCCTAGAAACTATGATGAACCTAGTTAAGACTGAGCAACCCTAAGAGTCTCCACATATAACTTCCCACCAAAAGGGATTATGGCTCTTGGAGAAATGGCTTTGAAACAAAGAAAAGAACAAGTTAAGTCTAGAACATCTTCTCATAGCAGGAAACCACAACAACAGCAACAAAAGGAAATGATCAAAAATACAACAGTGGTATCAAAAGGACTTATGAGTCGATCTGAAGATGGCCAAAGATAGACAATTTGAGTGTTAGGGAATTAATGTTGTTAAATGTTGGCAATCATATTGTGGTTTCATAGGTAAACATCTATTTCTTGGAGATGCATGCTGAAGTATTTGACAGTGATGTCATGATGCAAAAAAATTATAGCAAAAATAAATAGTACAGCTGGGCGCGGTGGCTCACGCCTGTAATCCTAGCTCTCTGGGAGGCCGAGGTGGGTGGATTGCTCAAGGTCAGGAGTTCAAAACCAGCCTGAGCAAGAGTGAGACCCTGTCTCTACTATAAATAGAAAGAAATTAATTGGCCAACTAATATATATAGAAAAAATTAGCCGGGCATGGTGGCGCATGCCTGTAGTCCCAGCTACTCGGGAGCTTGAGCCCAGGAGTTTGAGGTTGCTGTGAGCTAGGCTGACGCCATGGCACTCACTCTAGCCTGGGCAACAAAGTGAGACTCTGTCTCAAAAAAATAAATAAATAAAAATAAATAAATAAATAAATAAATAGTACAAAAAGTACAGTGAGGGATTAATGAAAGATAGGAAAATGTTTATAATCTTTGAATCTGAATTGTAGATATGTCAGTATTTATTGTATATTTCCTTCTACTTCCCTGTATGTTTCAAAAATTTTATAATAAACATTGTAAAAAGTAAAGCCAGGTCTTCTTCTTTTTGTCTTTTCAGTTAACACAAGCTTGAATTCCCTCTTGACCATACTTTTTCTAAATTTCACAATTTGAATGTAATAATATAATAACATTGAAAATCAAAAGAAACAACTTCAAAAGCCAATAACTAGTTTACAACTCATTGCAAAACAAATGTAACTTTAACATCACACTACGATTTTATTTTTAAAACTCAACTTTATTATCAATATTATTCATCAGGCTTAGCTCAAGTGCCTCGATAATTTCAAAAATATCTACTAATGAATGAAAATGTAAGGGTATTAGCTATCATGTGCCTTGGGTTGTGAGTTTCTAAAGATGAATTTTAAAAAGTGATTTGATTCAAGAAAACTAGTTTTAGAAAGTCTGTGATCTGCTTAGGTGCTTACTTTGAAGAGGACAACTCTCATTTGGATGCTAATTTCATATATATTTGTTAAAAATGCATCCTAATTATAATTTCTATTTTCCTAACACCTTCATTCATCTTTAAACTTCATTCTGCACATAGTGCAAATGATCATTGAATACAATATAAATAATGCAACCAAATCTTTTGGAGATTTTAAAGCTGATTCTTATGCCCAACATATTTCTAAAAACCCATTTATTCATTCTTTCATTTTCAGAGGCCATTTGAGATAATCATTCTAAGTTCACAGTGCAGTTGTTTTTCAGGTATGTTTTAGAGGTTATGTTGGTCCATATGAGGTCTAGCTGTAAACAGTAACAAGCACAATATAAGTGGCCTTAGTCTATTTCTTTCCAAGGTCACCCTACCACGAAGATGCCTTCTGGTCAGCTCTATGTGCTAGGAACCAGAGCCAAATGTCCTTCACGAGAAAGATTCTAAGCCTCAAGGCACTGACTTACTGGCCTCTGTGCTCTGGGGCTCCCTCCTCTGTTTCATTTTAACAGTGGCCACTTGGAAAGCATCTAAAACAAATGACAGACTGGAAGGGGCACCTCTAAGGTGATCTCTGTTGGCATTTGGGGGGCAGTGCCCAGCTTCCCCGCCCTGCTAAGAATGTCATTCAAAGCTGTTGCTCCTAGTGCTCCCAGTTAGGTGCACAAAAACAACTGGCTTTCTCAGCCCTCAACAATTCTATCTTCGGGGGTTCTCGATCAAGTCGGACTGCAGCCCGGGCGGTTCTGGAGCTGGGCTGCGGCAGGAGCTTCCCGACAGCACCTATTTCTCTCTGGCTGTGGTAACCTCGGCAGCTCTTTTGGCAGCCCAGGTTTTTTAGTGTGTGTGAATTTGGAAGATATCCCTGGAAAAGGAGCCTGGAGTGGGTTTCTTTATCTCTCTAAACAATTCTGTAACCATTTCTGGTTAAACTAGCTAGGGAGAATTATGTTCATTACATCTAAACCATGACCTTTTAGAAGGTCATTAAAATCAAAAGCATAGGGTGATGTTAAAGTTACCTTTGTATTTATTTATTTTGTTATATTTGAGATTCGCAAGGCCGCAGGACAGAGAGACAGAGTCACCGAGGCTGTAATTATCAAAAGGAGTTTTATTGTCTAGTTCGAGCTAGGGTCCGAGCACCCAGAGTGTCAGCGCAGTGGCCTCTTCTCTGGGCAGGGACCCTCCTTTGTGTGTTAGTCCCCTTTTTATAACTCAGTTTTAACACACTGGTCATGCATCCGCCCCCACAGTGATTCTTACTTCATCCTGCCCCTGAGAAGCTCTAACCTGTTCTGGGTCCTAGCTGAGAGACTCCGGTTTCTACATGCTTTGTCTTTTTCCTCTGCATCCCATAATATACTCATAATCCCTTGCGGTTAGCAAACAAGCAGTAAACAGAAGCTGGAAGATGTCTATTGTCCTTATAGCCCAGTATCTTACAATTTATTTTGCCATGAGTTGTAAACTAGTTATTGGCTTTTGAAGTTACTGGTTTCGAAGGTCCTACTCTATTTTGTTAAACAAAATGTTACGTGAGACCTCAACACACAACGTGGATAAAAGCAGCGTGACTCTGGTTGTGTACATTTGGAGGGGGGTGGGTTTGGCCAGGTGAAGGGGGACCCAGCTCACATGTCCCTCAATTTTCCATCCCACCATCTCAGAATGGTCCCTGAAGCACCTCTGAGGAAACCTAAGACCCCTACACACACACACACACACACAATTATAAGGTCTGTTAACACGTTCGCAATTAAGTATGAAACACACACATCAAGTTGTAGCAATTGAATAAAAGGTATGGTGTTCCCTGAGTGTATGTGCGCACCCACAAGATATTCCAGAAAGAGAAGGAAATTCGTTTTCAAAAGCTTCACATAGGTGTGTGGGTGCCGGCCTGAAAGCTCCCAGCCTGCACTGAGGTCCCCGCCAGCCTGAGCGCCCACGGGCTGCAGGGCCACCCATCCTGCCCACAGTGCACGCACCGCCGCTTCCTCTTAGCTCTGCGGCCGGTCCCTCTCTGAAGATTCCTCCGTTGCTGGAGGTTCCTCCTCTCAGAGCAGCCTCTGCTCAGAAAGATGGTTACTCCAGACGCGGGGGCCCCTCCCTCGCAGCTGCACATCAGGCCAGGGAGGCAGGTCGTTTCCTCTGCGTGTTTAAAGCTATGATTCGACTGGGCTTTGGCCACCGATGTTGCTAATGTCTTCACTTCAGTCGGCTGCCTGCTTTCTGCGCCTTGCTGAGTACGCCGGCAAACCCAACGCAGGCCACCTCCTAGCCCCTGCCAGGGGTTCCAAATCCTGTATCTCAACAGATGCCGCAGAGGATACTCCAGGCAAGGGTACACTTTCATCCTGTGCTGCCTTTGAATGCCTATTTGCCCCTAATGGCTTAGAAGGGCTTAGAGGGACTCCTGAAGTGAGAAGGCCCCTCACTCTCTTCTCCTCCTCTGAGCCAGTACTAAGCAACCGCCTTCCTCTCCTCAGTACCCAGCCCTAGGCCCTCAGAGTGTCAATCGCCTCCCCAGAAAAGTGTCGGTAGCCTCCAAGATACTTCCCTCCATCCTCACTCTCCAACAGGCAGTTCTATAAAGAGGAGACGGCACACTTTTCTGTCCAAGCCCAGTCACAGCTAGGGCGTGACTGCGGTCAAGTCCCTGGACTCACCATGCCTTGGCTTCCTGGGCTTGTGGTATGTGGGGCATAAGGTTTCTCTCTGCTTTGAGAGAACAGAGCTCTAATTTAATAAATGCTTCTAGCACTTGACAAACATTCATGAGGTGTTGCTTTACACATCCTGTAGTGTTGGTTGTTGTGATTCTCTGAAATAGACTTCACGGTTTAAGGGCATCTGAACTCATGGAAGAGAAAGATGTTTTATACCTAAGAAGTTATTTATTAGTTCTGGTTAGGAATGTTTGAACTGAAGTTTCAAAATACGCGAATCAATTAACTGGCATGTGAAGGCTTAGCATATGTAAGTGTGTTTAGTGGCCTCATGAGAGAGGGAAGGGAATTTTTTTGCTCCTCTATGGAAGGTAAAACAAGAAGGTAGGTACAAAGAAATGTGACATTTAACAAGAGAAAGATGAAGGAGTTCATTCTGAATGGCCCCTATTCTACTAAAATGGATAGGCGTATATGTTGAGAATGAGGGATTGGAATCTTAAAGTAAGTGATAAAGGCGTTGAGACATTTCAAAAATAAAGGCATTAGACCAATGGTTCATTAATGTGTTTCAATGTATTTTAAGCATTTTAAAGCACACATCTAAAGTATACATTTAACACATTTAACACAAATGCATTTAATACAAAATACACTTAATGTATTTTAAAGTATGCATAATAAAAGAAAAGAGCAAAATCATTCTATGTATTAGAGACTATGATTCTAGCAATACAATTTCTTTTGATTATATATTTTACTAATATATTTTTTTACATATAAAACATAAATTATTAATTAAATTCTTTTTAGCCAGCCAATGGACACACAAAATCATAAGCACTATAAAACTTAAACCACTTTCTTGCACAGAAAATCTCATACTTCTCTGATTTTTCAGCAATATTTCCTCCATCCGTTTTAAAGTCTCTGCTTTAAAGTTTTCTAGAACATTCGTGCTGCTCCCCTGTGTCCAAACCAGCCTTTCAAACTGATGGTTTCATATTCGGTGATTTTTCCTGGATAGCCATGATGTTCAAGGCCATGAAGAAGGCCCACAGTGTTGGGCTCACCTTAGGGAGACAGACGTCTGTCTGGCATCATCAAAAGTAGCAGATGCCCAATGGAGAAACAGCTTCTGCCCCCTCCATGAGCTTCTCCCATGTGCTTCTCTACATAGGCAAATGTCCTCAAGTCAAAACTGTCTTCCTCTCTAGGTCTGCTTCCCTCTACTGCCCTGTGGCTTCCATTTAGTCCACTGATGAATAATTACCTTAGTAATAATTAATAACGGTAATAATAACAATAACAGTAATGGCCACACTTGTAGAGTGCTAAGTCTGTGCCAAGAACTGTGGTAAGCACTTTACTTATACTTGTTCATTCAGTACCCTTGTGAGGTAGGTACAATGATTACAAAGTCTCATTTTACAGGTGAGGAAACCGAGGCACAGAGAGGTTAGATAAAGTTCCAGAGGTAGCAGAATCAAGTAGCAAAGTCAGGATTGGAGCTCAGGATGGGCTACATAGCCCACACTCTTAACCACCATGATGCTGCCTCCAAGCTAGGGGGTATTTTAGACACATGAGATTTTTTTTTTCTTTTAATTGAATTAAAATTTGCATGTCCTATGAAAGAGAAGATGTTTTGGGATCCCTTTAAGAAGTTCCCATAAATAGGTTCAAATAAGCAGGCTCTGTGCCCAGTGCCTTACTGGGGTTCCAAGAACTGCTGGTCTGCAGCTGTGGCCAAGGCTCCCCTCCAGGCACTCCTGGGCTCTGCGGGCAGCCCCGCCAGCTCTCTCCTCCCACATCTCATGCAAGATCTGCAATGCTGGGGAGTGAAGGCCGCATTCTAGTTACTATGTCACCCACTGGTTCAGAGAAATGGCCTCTTCCTGCACGTAATATCCTCTCTTTCAAATCAATCACTAGCATTAAGAACTCTTAAAGATGTGCCTGTTTGGGAAGGTATCAGTTATTTTGCATCATGCCCAGTCTCACGTTTGCTGAGTATGGGATTAAGTATGAACAGCTGCATCCAGTTATGGACAAGGGAGAAAAAAGGAGATTCACTTCTTTAGAATTCCAGGATCTTCTGGGAACACATGACCACAGCTCAACGTTTAGTCTTATTCCCGGCAACCTAATGACAAGTTTCATCTTCAAACGTTGAGTGTAATTGTGATAGAGGTAAGTATTTTGAGTAATGGCCTTTGTTGTGAACAGCCTCTTACACTCAATCCCAAAGTATCTGGAGTTCTTTTTGACATTCAGCTTTTCTGGAGATCAAGGTTTTGAAAGAACAGGCAAGATTTCAGATTCATCTCTGCCTGGGTTGAATGTTTTTGCAGGCATTAAGTAAAGGAGATTTTTCCAGAACCTTGAGTTATAGGAAAGAGATTTGTCAGCCTTCCACTTCAGAACTCTGTGAGATTTCAAAAGCGTTAGCGATTGGGGCAAAAATGTGAAGTCACCGACAGGTGTAAATTCAATTAAGATTATTTTAATTTTCCTTTCCACCAGCGCTTCATGGAGTCCACTTTCAAGTTCATACCTGACTTCATTAGACATATAACTTTTGCTTAGGACAATGATCAGTCGTCGGCTCTTCTCTATCAATGAGTGGATTTCATCAACAACAGCTGAAAAGGCAAGGTGTGCTGCATTAATTTCAGAGAACTAAAGGGTTCATCATGAGATAAAAATCATTTTGCACAGTCCTACTTTATATTATTTAAATCTTAACCTTACTAATAAGTTTTTTTAAGACAATCCATTTATTTTCAATTTTATACGCCTATGACAATCATCTAGGTAACACTAATAATGAACATTTAGCACTTACTCTGTGCCATACCTTCTTTTAAATTGTTTATATATATATTAACTCATTTAATCATCATAATGACCCTATGAAGAAGGTGTTGTTATTACCCCAATTTTACAGACAAGGAAGCCAAAGCACAGAGTAGTTAAGTAACATGCCCAGAGTCACACAGCTGGTCAGTAGCAGAACGCAAATCTAAACCCAGGTGGAGTGTATTTCCCCTACCATTATCCTACCTTGCTTCACTGTGCACACAAAGGAGCACGCTAAAATCAGAATTTCAGGATTAAAAGACAAATGAAAGACCAAAAACAAACCTAGCCATTATTTTAGACCAGGGGTTGGCAAATGTTTTCTGTAAAGGGCCAGATAGTAATTATTTTAGGCTTTGCAGGTCACACTTTGTCACAGATACCCACCTTTGTTGTTGTAGCTCAACATATATACAAATGTTTGTGGCAGCATTTCAATAGGAGTGGTGGGTGAGATTTTGACCCATGGGTGGTAGTTTGCCAACCCCTGTTGTAGACCTCTGACCCTTCTCAAACAGAGGTTTCACAAAGCCTAATTACAATTGAACATACATTTTTCATCCATTTTAAAAACTAAGAAAGAACCTCTTTTCAAAACGACTCCTAGAAAATAATGGAGATGTAGTAAAGTTGATGCAAAGGCAAGCATGAACGCTTCCTAAATATCAATATGCCATCTTAGATCCAAAGAATTGCCACACAAAAATACCACAGGGGTATGTATATGCACCTGACAATTCACCACATTATCCCTTTTGAGAACTTATTTATCACTAAACCATAGTGTATTTTGTCTTTCTAGTTAGTCATATTTTCCCTTTCTAATTTGTAATATAGGAGGAAAGAATGCAACTCCTTCTTATTTACTGCTATAACTTCAATGCTTAGCTCAGAACTTGACACAGGGATGGCATTCAATCAATGTCAGATGAATGAGCGAATGATGGTAACAATGGCAACGTTTGTGGTTTTTATTAACATCAGTATCCAAAATAATTTGACACCAGATTTCAAATGCTCTGGAAGACTTTGCAAGAAGAAAGCAAGCATGGAGATGTTACTATTTTTATTTTGACTATAATTTGCTTCAATATTTGTGTTATGGGTATTTGTATGCATATATTAATGAAAAACATTGAATTCCATAACTATGATCGGATAGGAATCCCCAATTTCCTCATTTATACCTTTCCAACATTCTAATTTTCTCACCAATATCAACACAACAAAGAATGAGCATTTCCTGATAGGAATTAACTTGTGTCCATAGTCCAAACACGGCTTATATTAAGAACTGGGTCTGCAGTACAAATATTCTCACTGTGAGTCGTTGCTTAGATAAATGCCTCACAGTAGCACCAACGCTGGCGGACCTGGATCTGAAAATGAAACTCTCAGTCCCTTTCCCCAGATTTTCAGAGAATCATGAAGTGGAAAGTATAGAGCCCAAGAGAAGAGACCATGGAAGCGCACTGTTCTCTCACTATTGATTATGTTGACTTACCTGGTTTATAAGACCTCATTCATTTGTTTGTAAGAAAAATGGGATGAGCTGTCTGTAGGGCTAGTGATTAATTTTTTAAAAAAGAAAATATCTCAAATGTTTTTCTGTCTGGCATTCCCTTCTTACCTCTTCCGGGCATTACATCCCTTTCGAATATGCATAACTTATACCCAAAATGCTTCTCCAAAACCCTGGGCAAAATCTCCACAGCAAAGGTGTACTCCTCTCCATTTTCAGGGCGACAGTCTTTTAGGTAAGACACAAAAGCATCGTATGTTTTTCCATCTAGGAGATAAGGTTGACTCTTAATTAGTGTGTAAACAAAAGTTTATTTAAGTACAAACTTGAGTGAGCATCACAAATAATGAGTGTAGAATCACTGGGGGAAAAAAATTAAATATGGTGTTGTTTATATTTAAATCTCATATACTAACCAAGCAACCATCTAGCCAAATATTTTTAAGCATCTGCTTTAAGACTTCCACTGTTCGACACCATAGAGGGATAGAGAGAAATAAAAACTCTAGATCAGGGACTAAAGGAATTTAAAGACAGGCCAAAGAGCTCAAATATACCCTCATTCCAGGAGTGGAAATCAAATCTCACTTTGGCTTACTCACATCACTTAATGCTACCATCATCCTAATTTCTACCCTCACAATGACTTCCTGGGAAGGGAAGATAGAAACAAAGCTGAGTGTTGACCCTGGAAAGTGGGAAGAAACAACAGAAGTGATTGAAACAGTATGCCATAGGAACACATACTGTGATATTTAAAATACTATAAGATATTTGATCTCAAAAGGAAAACTTCTGATCCATTGAAAAGTTTTCACTGATCATAACATCTGCTCCTATTTCATTTTCCAATAATGAAACAGCATTCACATGGCTGATGGGACAAATTCCGGAGGAAATGGGTTACCTGAATAACAAAGACCGTTCTCCTAACTAGATAACTAAAAAATCGTATGATTCTCTCTTTTAGCTTCATCCAATCTATTTGAAAAAGGCAAAGCAGATACATGCACCAACTTGAGAAAAGTTACAAACAACACATTCACAGAAGGAAAAAAGGGTAACACAAATGAAACAAACACAATAACCTGGCCAGGGAAGAAGGAGTATTCCCCATGGACATGCTTTCTAAACAAAGAAAATTTTGAGTTGAGTTCTAGAAAATACAACTGGTGCTGACTGGAATCCGTAGAGGGAAAAAGGAACTGGTAGGGAAATGGTCTGTCTTTATCCCATGGCAATTGGATAGATGGCAGAGGAGTTACATTGATGCTCGGGTATTTATGGGAATTAATGAAATTGCTACTGAGTTAAAGGCTAATATTATTGGATTATTTATTGTCATGTAATAGGATGAGACCATTCTAGGTCCATGTCCTTTGTGGTGCCACATCATTTGTGCTTGTCAGTCCAACCCAACAGCCTCAACAGTGGGCAGGCTAACCAAATAACACTCCCTTTCTGGCAAAAGCTTCTTCAATTCTATTGATACCTACAGCATTCTGATTCAGCAATTCCATTCAGAATGTATTATTGATTTAAAGCAATTGCGTTGCAGAATTGCATGCATATCAAAGATAAGAAATTTTGGTAAAATTACAGAATTACATGAATAACGGTAGAAAAAGTTGGTAAAAATAAAACCAGTTATGAGTTAAATCAAAAAATAGGCCCCCAAAATACTTTTAAATTTCTGTGAAATATAGCTATTTGCTAGTTAAGTGAGGGTGTTAGTGTTTTCACCGGCATTGTCATTTTGTCAGTGATGAAAACAGGCACCAAGATGCAAGACAACTAAATCAGCACACTTTTTTTAAAAGGCACACTTTTTGTCTCATAATTAGGATGTAACAGATTGCAATAAACCTGGAAGACAATTCCATCAAATATATGTTTATATTATATATGATATAGCTTTTCTCTTACCCATGGAAAATTCGTTTTTCAACTATTAATTGTTTTCAAATTTCTTATTTTCAGCAGTTCTCTTTTTTAAATATAAATCTGCTAATTTGTGTCATAATTTCATTTGAAATCCAGGTAATAAAAAGTTTAGTGGCTTTGAGAATTGACAGAGCAAAGTGCTCAAGATAAGGAATTTGAAAGCTAGTGGTAATTTTTTGTTTGTTTGGTCGGTTTTGTGTAAAGGAAACGATCGTGTGAATGAATATGTGGGATTACAAGCAGTCAGGTAGAAAGAACAATGCTTCTCAAACTCTGTGTCGTGAATAACCATGTTATAGTTTAAATTTGCTGTTTTTAATTCATTAGTTTCATTTCCAATCCTTCATAAACCAATACTAAACATACTCTTGGATATTGCAGCAATATTAAATTGCTATAAAAGTTTGTATTTTTGTATTTACGTCTCCCTTTCTGCCCTTTTCATAGACTGTATCTGTTCATGGACCACACTTTGAATGAAAATGATTTAGAGCATGTCTCTAAATGTCTCTGTGTACTACCATATTGGAAGCTAAGGAGTGCAAATTGAAAAAAATCAGTGGTAAATCAGGTCAAACATAGCTTAAGAGAAAAAAAAAATCTTAGTTGAAAATCAGAAAGAGGGAAATTAGTCAATGTCCATTTGAAGACAAATAGTGGTCTATGCAAGCAGACGCTATTCAGAGAATATCAAATACAGACTTTCCGGTTGTTGAAGCATCTCCATAGCAAAAGCACACACACATGCAGGCTCAACGCTCAATTTATTAACTTTGCAAATTATATATTGTTAAGTTACAAGTTGTAAATGTGAACAATGTAAAAATCTCAAAGGAACTAACACAAGAATTTCTTTACAAATTGAGGTTAGGAAATCTTTGTAATTATGACTATAAAAGAAAAGGCACATTTCAGTGCCTTTTAAAAAGTCTTCTGCATAGCACACTACTATAACCAAAATCAAAAGACAAGTACAATCTGGAAATATTTGCATTTCATATTAAAGGCTAATCTCCCTAAAATGTAAATAACTCCTTGAAATAAATAAGCAAAAAAAAAAAAGCCATCAGCCCACTGGGAGAAAAGACAAAGGATATGAATGGATGAATGGATATGTTGAGAAAAGACATGCAAATGGGTCTTAAACAAATGAAAAGTTGCTCATGCTCTTGTATAGTAAGTGAAATGCAAATTAAAAGCACTTTGACATGTAACATTTTACCTATCAAATTGGCAAAGATCCAGAAGGTTGTGGGTAAGGCTGTGGGAAAATATTTACTTTCCTCCTTTGTTTTCTTTTTTTTTTTTTGAGACAGAGTCTCGCTCTGTTGCCCAGGCTAGAGTACCATGGCGTCAGCCTAGCTCAAAGCAACCTCAAACTCCTGGGCTCAAGCAATCCTTCTGCCTCAGCCTCCCAAGTAGTGGGGACTACAGGCATGCGCCACCATGCCCAGCTCATTTTTTCTATATATTTTTAGTGGGCCAATTAATTTCTTTCTATTTTTAGTAGAGACAGGGTCTTGTTCTTACTCAGGCTTGTCTCAAACTCCTGAACTCAAAGGATCCATCTGCCTTGGCCTCCCAGAGTGCTAGGATTACAGGGCTGGGCCACCACGCCCAGCCTACTCTCCTTTGAATATAGCAATAGGGGAAGGCAAATTGGCAGTATCTATCAAAATAACAGCTGCATTTGCCCTGATATTTCCAGAAATTCTACTTTGGTTAATTTTTCCTTCAGATATACTGCACACACAAATGAAATAATGACTATATAAAGCTATCCATCGCAGCATTTTTATAACAAAAGATTGAAAACACCTGAATGTCCATCAAAAGGAGACTAAATAAACAGTGATATTTCCACATAAATAAAATACTATGCAACACTATAAAATGAGAGACTTCTTTATAAAGTAACATGGAACTGTATCTAAGGCATAGTAAATAAAAGTTGAAAAGAGTGTGCATAATAGATCTGTTTTTTTAAAAAAGGAGGAGTAGAATAAGCATATTTATGGTCAGATATGCTATCAGTGATGGGAGAGAATGGGAATCACAGACATGAACCAAGCTGGGAGGGATCTTCCTATTGTATAGGTTTTTTTTCCCTACAAATATGCACACAAAACACAGACATACAAAAACAAAGGCAAGTGCAATGGATTAGATTGATTTTCCTTAAATTCAGTAATCACTTCAAAACTTGAGGACTTCTAATCACTTTTAAGTATAGGGAAACTGAGGCATAGCATCACCAGGTAGACATGGTTGTTGATAAAAGCTGGCAGATCTAGGAGACTAGAACCTAGGTCATTTGGCGTCTATCTCATGGTTCTTACAGGTACGTTATGCAGTCTCCTTTGCCAAGTTAAAATGATGAGCCATAATACAATTCAATTCGATTAAGCCATCTTTATTGAATGTATGTTCTATATAAGGTACCTCGGTGGTGTGTATACAGTGGCATTCAGATAGATATACAGTTTCTGGGCTCAAGCATCTCACAGGACATTTAGGAGGATAGGACATACATACATGAAAAACTGGAGAACAAATTTTTGACACTGTATACATAAGCACAAGAAGAGGTGGCACAAACAACATTCATAATGGATGGCACATGTAAAACAATGTTTTCCCCATGGAAAACTTCTCCCACAGATTGAGTCAACAATATAATCAAATTACGATGAAGATTAATGGTTCCTTATTTGGTTTCTTAATGAGAGCATAAGACAAGAAATCCCAGCATTACGATGATTGTTACCTGTTAATGTTTCATCTCTTCCCATTAAATGTCTATAAAATAAAACCAAGTCAACTCTATAAAAGACACCCACAACCACTAGACACACTACTGCCACCAGGATCACAGCGGCTATGATCATTCCTCTCGTGAAGACGTGGCCTGGGATATCAGCCATGTCTGCTAGAAAAGAAAGAGAAAAAGAAAAAAAAAAATCAGAGAAATGACAGCAGTGTCCTCTGTCATCACACTGTGGTTGTCAAATTTGACCTTTAACACTAACCACTAATCCAGTTGTCCACCCAAGTGCTGACATGTTCCACTGCGTTACCCCACTTCCCTGCCTTTGGTCTGGAGTAGTGATCTTTCTATTCAAATTTTTAAAGAATAAAAATGTATACAAGAAAATTCAGAGACCTAAACTGAAAACACTGTACAATAATGTATTCTATCTGCACCTGTGGAAATCAGATTTGTGGGATGATAAGATACTAGGCTGAAATACAGAGGGACTCAAACCTAAGTCTCAGCTAGCGGGTTGAGAACATAAGTAGAGATGCATAGTTTTGAGAGGGAGAGAACCCTGGACTGAGCTTGTGTGGGTTTGGAACGTGGCTCCATCGATTATTTTGTATCCTAGAAAAAGTCATAGATGCCCCTAAACCTCAGTGTCATCATCTGTAAAATGAAGATAATAATAGTTCCTGCTTCACTTACAGGATCTCTGCTTTGAGAAAGATTAAATGAGATATTACACATAAAGTGGTTAGCATAGTACCTGGCATACTGCTGTCAGAATTTTAGCAAATTTTATGTATAAAAGTGTCCTTTTATAATTAAGGGCCCTTAAAATTGCATTTCCCAGATCGATTCAGTTTATTCTCATTATGGACAATATAAGATAATACAGAGGAATATAAAGAATAAAGTAATTTTTAACAACCATCTCACAATATGGTGATGGCCATGTGAACATGACAGTATACTTCCTTCTGGGTTTTCTTTTTGTCCCTGAATATTTACACTTAATTGAGATCACATGGCAGTCACTCTATTTCTGAATATTATAGTATGAGCATGTCAGTAGGTCATTAAAATTATAATGCGTATCCCAATATTTTTATTGATTGCAATTTTCATAAGTATACATAAAATTGCAATGAACAAATGCATATACATTTATCTGTATTTCTGATTATTTTCTTAGAATAGATTCCAGTGGTGGGAGGATTTCTAGGCCAAAGAGTGAAAACATGCTTAAAACCTTTGGCATCTTAAATAGCACAATTTTTAGGGATTATCTTTCCAGTAAAATTAGGATGCAAGTAAGCAACTACAGTTCAGGCCCTGGGGTTCTGGTATCTTTGAAAGGTCTACATAGTCATGACTATGCCACACATATGCACAAACACACATGTGCACACTGGCATCCAGTTCCTCCAGGGGTTATGGTGGGTCGTGAGACCCTATTCCCCAGCCTACATTTGTGAGCACAGCAGGAGAAATGACAAGGGCAGAATCTTCTAGGTCAGGGATAGGACAGCCCTGCACTGCTCTAAGAGGGCAGAGGTGGCCGTTGGCAGCCAGTCACCAAGAAACCCAGGCAAGGCAGTGGTTCCAACAAAAATAACAAATTTGAAAGCCTCACACTCACAAGTGCATAGACAATAGCGTAGTCATTCACATGGTTTTAAGGGACACCTGTGACAATTCCTGCAATTCCTATAGAAGTTAAGAGCACAGACTCTAAGCAGGTCTGAATGTCAGTACCTTTGCCTGCTGTGACTCTGGGCAAGTTTCTTCATCTATAAAAGCTTGTTGTTAAGATTAGATGAAATCATGGGAAGAGACTAGCACAAAACCTGAATGTTGGCTACTATTATTGCACATGGTGGAGGGCTGGCTCTGTGTGTACTAGGTAAGCTGCAAGAGAGCGCCAGGACAGGAGAACTGTCAAGGGTGGCCTCCGGCATTAGGCTCTCTCTGCCCACTCCTTCCATTTCTTGCCAAAGCCAAGGCACAGTCATCTGTGTACGTTTGTGTGTGTCTGCGTGCCTCTCTCTGTCTCTCTGTTTCTCTCTCATCTCTCTCTGTCTTTGCATTTCTGTGTCTCCTCCTCTCTATCTCTGTGTCTCAGTTCCCCTCTGTCACTCTCTCTGTCTCTCTCTCTCATTCTGTATCTCTGTGTCTCAGCCATTTCTGAGTAGCTACTGAGCCACTGGCCCCGGGCTGTGGAATTTTGGTAGAAGTTGGAGGTGGATGACTCTATCAGGTGGGCACTGAAAAACCTTGAGAACCCACAGTGCAAGCTCACCCTACACTGATCTGCAAATTTCCCTCCAGATGCTCTGGGTGGAAGCACTGGGTATACACAGGGGTTGCCCTGATTGCCTCCTGATGGCCTCAGTCCCCAGAGTTCATGTCCCTAAACTTCACCCACCTGCCTGTTCTGGCCCCCTGAGTTCCACATGGGATTGGAATATCACTGCAAGAACAAACTTTGTGTTTTCATTCTCTGCTTGGAATCATGACACACAGATTCTCAGTAGGGACTGAGCACCAGTCCCGCCACTGAAAGCCTGTGACATAAGACGGATCGTGTCACCACTACGGAGCTGGATTCTGGTGTGGAGCATGAGGAAGTGATGATCTTCCATGGGTCCCTCAGCAGCAATACGCTAAGTTTCCACAAACTTCCAAAAATAAAACTTTCAAACCTTTTTTCACCAAGATGAAGCTGTTGGTGTCTGTGCCTCCGTTGCCAGCCACGGTGCAATTATATAAAAAATTGAGATTGTCTTCACTAATATTCTCAATTCTCAATAGTTTTGAAGCATAAAATTTGCCTTCTGAAGTCCTATGAGAAAGTAAAATCATTTAGCAATAAGCTTTGTTCATCAGCAAAATTACTTATGAGAGAGGAATTCATAGGTTTAAAATATCCAAAGGCAGCTACCCTGTAGACTGTGTTGTACCTTCCCTTTCGGGTGCGTACTTTGTTGTTGTTGTTTACTAATTTACCAAGAGGCTGTATCTGGTGGATGCTTTTAAAGGTAGACCACAGTAATCCTCCTGCTCCTTTGTGGAGCACCAGGACTGGTGGAAATAGCCCTCCGGAGGCAATCTGGGGACGGCATTGTCGCTGCCTAAAACTAAAATGCAAGAAGAAAGGATGCTAAGTTGAAAACAGAAGAAAATATTCTCTGTCTCAATTACTTTCTCCCCTCCTGACTACTTGTTCTTCCTGCAGAAAGGTCTCCACTAATTGTGACAAGGCTGTAAGTTGTTTAGCATAGATACAGATTCACATCAAGTTTGTCCATTCAATTCCAAAGATTATTTTTATTTTGTTAAATCTTAAAAACCGGCCGGGCGTGGTGGCTCACGCCTGTAATCCTAGCTCTCTGGGAGGCTGAGGTGGGCGGATTGCTCAAGGTCAGGAGTTCAAAACCAGCCTGAGCAAGAGTGAGACCCCGTCTCTACTATAAATAGAAAGAAATTAATTAGCCAACTGATATGTATATAAAAAATTAGCCGGGCATGGTGGCGCATGCCTGTAGTCCCAGCTACTCGGGAGGCTGAGGCAGAAGGATCGCTCGAGCCCAGGAGTTTGAGGTTGCTGTGAGCTGGGCTGACGCCATGGCACTCACTCTAGCCTGGGCAACAAAGCGAGACTCTGTCTCAAAAAAAAAAAAAAAAAAAAATCTTAAAAACCGACACCCCCAGGCACAGGAGAAATACCAGTTAATGCCTTGCGACAGCCACTGGCAGTAAACTCTCTTCCTCTTCCTCAAAGGATTCAAGCTCTCTTGTGGTTGCGTGAAGCAAACACTCATGACATCTATTTCCGCCGCCAGGGAAAGGATCGGAGAGGGCTGCACGTCAGCACAGCCAGCCATGACCTCCATGTGCCAGAGTGCCTAGCAACAAGTGTCTCCAGTACCTGGGACATGGACCTTCCTGTAGCTTCCAGCTAAGTACATTTTATAGCCATCTTGTACAGAAATCATGCATTTGAAAATAGCAGCCATCTAAAACCAGTGAAAACCAGAAGACACAAAAGGCCACTGAGAAGTCAAAACAGATGACATAAAAAGTGTGCGGTATGAATCCAACTATAAAGAAAGACCCCCTGTTCTCACGGTGTATGCTCGTTTCTGAGAGGTTTGATGAGTTGGTCTTCTATTCCTCTGAAGATTAGAAAGAGACCATTAGCTGGGAGAAATGCCAACCTCCAATGGAGGTCTGTGGCTGGAGATAGGATACGCTGGCAGGACAGCCACACCATTCAGCCAAATTCAACATTTACTGGACACCAACCATGTGCCTGGTTTTGGGCAAGGAGCCAGACCTTGCTGTGTAAAGAGCTTACAGACAAATGTTAGCAAGAATTGAGAGCTGCTGACATAATGACAAAGAATATACCAAAAACAAGTGTAAAAAGCAGAAAAAGAAAAAGAACAAGGGTAGCTAAGATGATAGGCACTTCAGGATTACTACCAACTAGACTTTAAGTAGTGTATCAGTATAATAATTAATAATCACAGTATGACCTAAAGCTATTCAGAAAAGTTTAAATGACCATATTCAGAGTATGTTTTGTTTTAATAAATCTGGCCATTCCTTGTTGGAAGAATGTAGGCTATTTAAGGATCAATATGCATGTCATTTGGAACTTTTATGGCACATTAGTAAAAGTAATGCACTTATACTTTTCAAAATACAAAATCCATGGCCCAGGTAATTGCTCTTTTATAAGAAGCTAGGTAAAAATCTCCATCACCACCAGATCTGAACTGATCGAAAGCTACCTTTAATCTACTTATTTATTTATTTTAATGTTTTTAAAGCCTGGGTCTCTCTATGTTGCCCAGAGTGGACTCAAACTCCTCAGCTCAAGTGGTCCTCCCACCTTAGCCTCCTGAGTACCTGGGACCACAGGCACACACACCAGGCCCCAAAGCTACTTTTGTAAGGTGATGCTAAATACCCTTGTTGACCTTCTGATGGACATTCTTTTTCTAACTCAGATCTTGGCAATAAATTACTGCATAATCCATCAACCTAAGGTATGACAATTATAATTATAAAATATGTAAATTATAATTTAAACTAATCCCAAACACCACATCAGCCACTCAGGAATCCAGCATTTTTATATGATGTATGTATGATATAATTCTTACATCACATATACATGATATATGTCATGTATCACATATACATACCAGTTTCTAGTTTTGTTCTGTTCGTGTACATTAGGATCTGATCCATTTTCTTTCTCAAAGCTCCAATAAACCACATCATTTTTGTTCAGCAAAGCAGAGCAGTTGAGCTGTACATCTTTTCCTAGGTAAAAGTTGACAACCAAAGTTTGGATTTTTGGAACTCAGATTTTCCAAAGGTTTCAAATTAATATAATCAGTGTATGTTAACCTAATACAAAATATAGTGTCGCATCCCAGAAAGAAAATAGATATGGCTTGTTTTTAAATTTTTTAAAAAATTGTAAAGCAGAAGAATTAGGTAGTAATTACAAGTCATACTAAAATGTGAATTGGCTTCTCTTTAAATATGTATTTTTAAATCAATTATTAAAACTTAGGGTGACCAGTGAACTTTCTTTTAGTATACAATTTAGTTAGGTAGTTTCAGTTCAACACACCTACTGCAATTTCTAGATAAATAAAATGGATAAATCACAAAAAATTAAATTAAAATAACTAGACATTAAAGACATCAAAGTGCAAGGAAAATAAACAGAAAGCGTTGAACTAAAAGTGTAGTCAGGAAATATTCTTTCCAGCATGAGCTGAGATAGCCAGCCATTTAATTCCATAGAGGAATTTGCTTTGGTTTGAAATAAACAGGAGTCTCAGAGACAAGAGAATCCAGGAGGCTCTCAGCAGGTGCACAGGCTTGGAGGATTATTGCTAAAGGCTTGAGCAGCATGAGAGTCTGCAAAGGCTGGATGGCATCACCTGAAGTCTATGGTGCTTGGGAGAGCAAGTCCCATTAGAGGAAAGGCCTACGACAAACACACGATTACATTACCCACCCCCGTCCCCTGCCCCAGCTATCGGAGATGAAAGGCAGGTGAGATCTCACAGACCTGCATCCTAGCCACCCCAGCTCAATTCTGAGTGAACTGGACATTCACCCTTCACATTATGTGCCCAACAGAAGAGCAAACACTCATAGGAAAAAAAAAAAAAAGAATATACAAACATCATTCACTTTGGTTGTTGGATACACAAAGATCAGCAACAGTAAAAAATTAACAGACATGCAAAAAGGCAGAAAATGTGAACAATAGTCAATAGAAAAAAATAGATGATCCTCATGCTGGATTTAGCAGATAAAGACTTTGAATAACTATGTGAAAGAAAATAGAGGAAATGATGAATAAGTGGATGAAAAGATGGACATTTTAAACCAAGAACTGTAATCTACTAAAAAAAGTCAAATGAATATTATTTTGTATGTCATATATATATGATATGACCAACTATATCAGTAACTTATTAACTATAGAGGGACTAAAAACTATACTGGCTGTATTTCAAAAAAAAATCTGAATACGAGCAGTTTATGTGAGACACACTTGAGGTATAAAGACAAAGAAATGTTAAGAGTAAAAAGATGTAAACAAAGAAAAAACCTGCCAATCCCAAACGAAATAAAAGTGGTGTAACTATTTCATATTAGACAGTATAGGCATTGAGAAAGGAAGTATTATGATGGACAAAGAGAGATTTCATGATGATAAAAGTGTCATTTCAACAGGCACAAATTTGTATGAACACATAAGATAGCCTCAACATACATAACATTGATAGACCTAAAGGAGATATAGACAAATTGACCATAATAGTTGCAGATAATTGACATATTTCTCTCAGCAACAGGTAGAGCAAGCACACAGAAGCTTAGTAGAAATATAAATGATTTGAACAATACCATTATCCAACTTTACCTAATTGATATTTAAAGAATGATAAAACTAAAACCTGTAGAATACACCTGCATTTCAAATGCATTTGGAATATTCATCAAGATACACCATATTCTGAGCCTTAAGAAAGTCACTACAAATTTCAAAACGTTGAAATGGCACAGCATGTAATCTTGGACCATAATGAAACTAAACTGGACGCTAATAACAGAAAATAGCTAGGAAATCCTCCACATATTTGGAATATAAGAAAAAGAAGTAATCCATAGGTGAAACAAGAAATCACAAGGGAAATTTTTTTTAGGTGATTTGAGCTCAATAGCGTGAAAAGATGGCATGCTAATACTTACTGAAAACAGCTGAAGCAGTGCTCAGAGGGAAATTTAGAACTTAAAATGCACATACTCCAAGAGTGGATAATTAAAATTAATTCTGTAACATTCCATGTCAAGAAACTAGACAAAAAAAGTGCCAATTAAACCTCAATGAGTAGAAGAAAAGAAATAATAAAGATAAAAGCAAAAAAATCAATAAAAATATGCAGCAGGCAAACCACAAGTGCAAATGGCATCATACCCAAACTGCCCTGGCCATATGTGGTCTCAGAAACAGCTGTGACTCCAGCTGTGGTTGTAGAATGTGGACTTTAGAAGCAATCAACACAGCCTTGAAACCCAGCTCTTCCACTTTTCAATCATTTAACTTTAGACAAATTACTAAGCCTTGCTATGCTGCAGTTATTCAGTCCATAAAATGGGGATAAACAACTCTTGGAGTTGCTTAGAGGATTTAATTCAGTAATATATGTCAAACACCTAGCACAAGATCAGGTTTAGCATATTTAGCACACAAAATTCTTCCTTTCCCTTGTGAAAGAAATTATTCCATTTGACATACTGATTCATAAGGCCTATCTAGGCAAATCCTAAATGTACAGTCAATTCAGTCCATTGATTCAAAGTGAATCGATTAATCAAATATTCAGACCACAAAGTACAGAATCATCTCTCCAGAGTGTTCTCACTGAATTTCCATATTTAGCAATGACAATAGAGAAAAGCCACACGCAGGGTGACAAAAGTCCTAGTTTACAAACCACAGGCAGTTCCACTGCCTCTCAAACAGACTGTTCCTTTTAGTCAGTTTAAAGGTGGCAACATTCAAACAATGACATGCTTTTGTTTTAGTTTTGTAATGTTCTTCACTAAATATGAGTGTGTTGTGCATCAATGACCTTCAATAATGAATCATATTTACCCTCAGAAGACTTAATTATGCCCCCATTCATAAACACAGAATATATGTATACCTAATTCCACTTCAACGTGGGTAAGCTTTGGTCCAAGAACAACTGGAACTATATTACTGTGACCTAAAAATGAAAAAAAAAAAGAAAAATGCATTAGTGTTGCCTTGAGCTTCTCTAGGACAAACATCTGTTATAAGATGCTCATTCAATAAAATGAAGATTCGAATAGTCACGCTTTGTAGTTACTTGGGTCAGGTTTTCATTAACTAAATGTCACGGCTCATGTGCTGGTTGCTTCACTTCTCATCAACTCCAGACTCACAGAACTGTTGAAAGCACCTGGAATCTGGTTTTCTCTCAGCTCAGATCTGCGGCTTCTGCTCACCCCAGCTAAAGGCAGAGGAAGACTTTCCTCCAGGGGGACCCCTGACAGATGCCCGAGATGACAAAGCTGCAGGATGAGAAGATGCAAAGTCGCTGGGAAGAGCATTCTGTCCTGCCTAATTCCTTCCCTCTGCCCTCCTCAGCTCTTCACTGATAGATTTACAGGGTGCAGGGCCAGGGGTGAGAGGAGACAAGCCCTCACTCTCAGGCACCCACCCTTCCCTGGCAGGATGCCAAGAGGAGTGTCCCTTCGGTACTGCACCATGGGTGTCTCACATGACTCACCCAGTCCTGGCCCTGCTGGTGTTCTGTACTGTAGGCCCCTTTCTACTTCTGTTCCCGAGTGACTTCTGACCCCAACCAGGAGTATTGCAGTGATGGTTAGGAAGGAAGTCATCTCCCTGCAGCCTTCTACTATTACTAAATGGTAGGTACAGCCTACGGCAGCTGATACCGCACAACATCGAGAGCAACTGTGGAAGTAGATTTAACACACCGACTGTCACTCTAGAAAGAAAACAATTTTTCCCTGGGGCCACAGCATTTTATTAAAACAAAGTGATCCTTTCTAAGTTATTGGTTTTTTTTTTATTGCTTTCTGTGTGTGAGTTATCCACGCAATCCATGTTTTTTAGAATTAAATTGTCGATATTAATTGTATCAACAAGTAAGATTTTCACGAACCAATTGCAGGATTTTGCTTCACAAGACCCCAGCGTCAAAATTAGCCTCAGTTAAATACAACTCAGTGGGAGTCAATGTGTTAATGAAAACTGTGTTATTTTTTATTGTCTTCTGTGCTTGAGTTACATGCAACTCACATCGCGCTAGAATCAATTTTTACACTGCATGCCAATTGACTTGTATGTGACTCACAACATACTTATTGAATTTGTTTCGACATACTTATTGAATTTGTTTCAGAGAATTGAGTCTTCATATGCTTCACAAGGCCCCGGGCTCAAAACTGGTGTGAGTTAAATACAGCTTACATGGCAGTTAATGTGTTAAACACAGTTACGTTATTGGTGGCCATGGTATCAGCACTGATAACTTTCCTCATGACCCAGACTGTTCTGTTTTAGTAACTTCAGTGCTTCTGGGCTATTTCTGAGCCAAGTCCAGAGCAGCCCTCCTGGGATCTACAGCAAACAGAATGCCTGGCTGTGTGGATTACACGGTGACCAGTGACTCAGGTACTGTCCTGCAGCGTCCACACCTCCTGGAGCCCTCTCAGAAAGTGCAGTGCTACGGGGTGAGGGGTGGAGGGGACAGTTGGGGACAAGGATGTGGGAACAAAACTGATGCAGTGGATCCACAAGTGGAGAGTCAGGATGGGGTTCCCCTGGGATCCAGGCTGTCTGGGCAAGCCTGGACCACAGCCAGACAAGCGGGAGGAGCTGAGATGTATCCAGAGAAAGGACTAACTCTCAGGTCTGTGAATGTGCAGCAACGTGGACTTGATTCAAGGACGAAGGGGTAGGAGGTGATTTTTGTGTAATGGGGTAAATTGCTACTGACTACTTTCTCTGGATCCATTTTTCCCCCCAGAAACTTGCATGGGAGACTTGGGGAAAGGTGGCGTGAAGGACATCTTCGGTAAAGGACAACTTGAGTAAAGGGTGCTCTCTACTAACACTCAGATTACATCATTGGAAACCCAGATCAGCACCGGGTTTCTACACCTGGTGCCAAGTCAAGGGGACAGCCCCATTTAGGTAATAGAAAGAAGCCAACACCCTAGTGAATGCACCTGGCATGACTAGTCCACCTGCGAAGCTAATGTCACAGGGTTGAAACGGCAAAGAGATTGCCAGCAGTGAGAGGAGATGTCACCAGACCAGCCAGAGCATGAGAAGAGGAGAATGGGAGATGCGGGTGGGAGTCCAGAGGGCTGTGATTCCTGAGCACTAGCTGCAGGCAGTGGTGCTACTGGGGTTCAGAAAATGACAACACAAAGTGTGGCGCTTTGGCATGCTGAGTGCTTGAACTAAACAATGTTGGAAGGCCTCAGAAACAGCCTCAGAACCCAGATCTCTTTGACCTTCTCCTTCCTTCCCATTTCTCAGCCCTCTTCTCACCTGAAACTCGTCATAGAAACCAGACTTGTCTTCCCCGAGATGGGTCATAGAAACTAGAACCCTTTTTCTCCAAAGCAAGCCATAAAACCTAGAAATATTACTCTCAACTTCCCCCACCTTTCTGTCTAGGAGCTGCCTATAAAAAAATTCTCTGCCCTACCCTGTCTGACAGTAGGTCCTAAGACCCTCATTCCAGAGGGTCCGGCCCTATACTTGGGAGGAAGGAATGCCACAACAGAGAGGCCGAGAAGAACATGAATAATCAGGCCTTGCTGGGTTTCCCCACTCAGTCCATTAATATTAGCTAACACCTTTTATCCAATCACCTCTCTACACAGCTGTCCATGCTTCATAAAATCTGAGCATAAAAACAAATAATTTTCCCTGGGTCTTGGGGTCTTCATTTCTGAAGGCTCCTATGCCACATAAAACTTTGATTAAATAAATTGGTTATTCCTTTCTTTTGCTAACCTGTCTTTTGTTACAGGAGTGTTGGCCATGACCCTTATGATGGGTGAGGAAAGGGATCACACCTTTGCGCCCCTACAGTGCTCACCACGTGGCAGCTGAGAGTTCTACATTCATGACCGCAGGTGAACTGGAATAAAGACACAATATAGACAAGGTGGGAGCTCAGAGTCCCACTGTCCTCAGCACAAGCCAGAACACCTCCTGACTATCGACTCCAACTCCAAACTCTACCTTTATCAAATGCAAAGAAAAACGGCCAAGATGGTGAGGAATCTAGGCTTCTGGTTGTGGTATGTGGCACCACTGAAGGGACTGTTGCTGTCTCCGTAATTCACTCAACGGGCATGTAATGAGCACCTGCAATGTGCCAAGTGCCAACTGTAGGTGTGCAAGGTGCAAAGATGAGGAATAGAACTCAGTTCTTCCCTTCTTTCCAGAAACTTCTCAGGTTGCTGACAGAGACACGCATGGATTCGGATTCTGACAGCAATCACAAATACAAATTAAGAGGCCACGGAGGCAAATTAAGAGGAGGAGGGACATTTGAGTGGCATCCTGAAGGACTCAGTTGGCGTTCTCCAGGAAGACAATGGGCATCAGGTAAGCATTGAAGACACAGGAATAGGCCGTGCAGCGGTGGGGGGTGAGGGACCAGCCGATGGGAGATGGCCCTAACAGTAGAGCTCCCCTGGCCCTAGAACCATCCTTGAACTTTACACACACACACTCATAAGCAATTTAACTCGCCCAAGATCCCAACCGCACAGAGCTGTTGTGACAATTATATGAGATGATTCAACTCAAGTGTTTGGCACTGTTCCTGGCCCAGAGTAACTTCATTAAAAGAAATGATAGATGTTCATACAGCTTCCTCAAGGAGGGAGGGAAAGAGTGGCTGGTGGGCTGACAGCAAAGACGGATGGAAGATAGATCTAGTGCAAGTACTGACGTATCCAAGGACCAGAGATTGATATGAGATTAAATAATATGCATATGGGAAAGTAAAGCTGAAGTATTTAGGGCAGATGATTATATATAGATTTAAATTTGGGGGTTTAAGAATTCAGTTACGGGATTTCCAGGCTCTGGGCTGTGGTAGACAAAATAATAGCCTCCAAAGTTTTCCACATTCTAATCTCCAGATCCTGGGAATATGTTATGTTACCGGGCAAAGGGGACTTTTCAGATGTGATTAAATTAATTAAGGATCTTGAGATGGGGAGACTATCTTGGATTTTCTAAGTGAGCCAGTGTTATCACAAGGTCCCCATAAGAGGGACACAGAAAGGTCAAAGTCAGAAAGAAGATGTGATGATGGAAGCAAAGGAAGGGGGCAGGAAGGAATTTGAAGATGCTACACAGTCGGCTCTGAAGATGAAGGAGCACAAGCCATGTGCTGGTGGCCTCTAGAAGCTTGAAAAGGCAAAGTAACACATTCTCCCCTTGAGCCTCCAAAAATAATGCAATCCTGCCAAAACTTTGATTTTAGGGGCAAAAATCCCTAAATTTGGGGCAATTTGTCACAGTCACAATGCATGGGTGAACACCTGTATAAGTGGATGGCTGAAGGGAAGAGGACAAATGTTAACCAAAGCAGAGGAGCTGCAGTAAACTGTGCCCACGGATTCTGTTGAATGAGTCATCTATGCGGGTTTACAGTCTCCCAGGACTATGGAAAGGAAAGTTGAGGGTGGATAGGCCACCTCTCTTCAAATAATCGAAGACGTCATCATTTTAAGAAGGGGCTAGACTTAATTTGCGAAGTTACTGAAGGCAAACAAAACCTGTGGGTGGAAGCTGCGAGAAGGCATACTTGGACTCAGTGGGATAAAAGACTTATGGGCAATCATATATTAAAATCTGGACTAAGTTGCTGGGTGATTTGGTAATTTCCTCAGTAATTCCCAAGAAGGGGCTAGATGATCAATTATTGGCTAAGCCATATGAAGAATATCTTTGCTGGGTGAGGCTTAATTAAATTATCTCTAAGGCCCCAGGCTTCTGCCCTTCCATCATACGTAGTCAGTCGGGGTCCGTGACAAACCAGACTATTAGCATCCTCCCCTCCCACCACCTGTGTCCTTTACATTCTCCCACCTGAAAGCCCTTTCCCCTGCATGTCCTGCTGCCTGTCCATGACCCTCATCCTCCAACACCAAGGTCCAGGGAAAGCCTCCAATTTCTCACCGCACTCTTAAGGCCTCACAGATGACGCTGTTTCATATACTGGGGCACCTCTGCGTGGTTCATTGCCTCTCCTGATTATAACCAAATTCCTGAGAACAGTACTGTACTCACTTCATTTCCTATTCCCTTGCTTCCCTTGCCTCTCCACACTAAGTACAGTTTATTGAATGCAGACATCCTCGTTAAATATTTGTTGAGTGCAAATGAAAGTTTAACAACAAAAGATTCCACAATTTACTGAAACTCCAAATAAGAGAAAAAGCCAATTCATGTGACGTTTATTCATATAAACTTTCATTTGCTGCCAAAAAAAAAAAAATTTTTTTTTTCAGCCAGGTGGATGGACGCCAAAATGAAGATTTTGACCCTTGTATTTGAACTAGTGGTGTAGTCACGACCTCTACTAAGCGGCATCTCAATTCCTATGCAGCTTTAGAGGAAAGAAAAAATTCTGATTTTCTAAGACACATTTGTTTCTTCCCAATTCTAAGATTTCTCTTACCTTTAACTACTGTTATATTGAAGGTTTTGGTGACGTTAAATAGCTTCCCATTATGAGGAACGGAAAACACACAGGAATAAAAGCCCTGATCTTCAAACACGGCATTCTTCTTTATAGATGGGTTTTCATTGCTCTCCAGTATCTTTGTACAGTTCTGTTTTTAAGACAGTGGGTTGAAATACTTTAAGTAGAAGCCATATTCATATGACAAGCATTCAAATTTTTTTAAGTTAAAGATCTTTAGAGAAAAAGGGAAACAGAATGGAAACTAGCATTTCTTGAGTAAATGTCCCTGTGATTTGGCACAGTTTCCACTGAATCAATGAGATGCAGCCCCATTCCTGTCACTACTGTTGTCATTAATACATTCAGGGAAAGAGGGCACGGGGGGCTGTGGGGCTACTTTCATCATTTTCCTTTAACCTCTCTTTTACACACACATGCATGCACACTTACACACACACACACACACGCAGATACACTACAACAAAAATCCCTGCCTGGGTCGCAGCTCTTGTTTTGTAACACTGTGAGTCCAATCTTGTGCTCCCCAGGGGTGGGTAGTAGGTAGGAGCAGAATTGTTCAAAGAACTGAGTACCTAGCAGACGGCCAGCCTGGCATGACGTCCTCCACCGGAAGCGGGTGGGCTGATCGGGAATGCAGCAAGAATATTCAAATCCACAAGCACACTCTAACATCTCTCCCTCACACACAGATTTCCATGTATGTCACAGAAATTAATAACAACAACAATAATAAATAAAGCCACCATCTTCAATCCAGCCCATCAGTAACTCGTAGGTAGGTCCTGAAGCAAACCAGGGACCAGATGGGAAAAATGGGGGCTGATTGGCAGTTGCTGACCATTTGACTCTCCTCCTACAAACACCAAACAGGGAGAACCTCTTCTTCCCAAAGCTGGTAGCCACTGGGGCTAGACCCAGGGCCCAGAATGGGCCTGCAAGGCCCTCACATGTGTACCTCCCATCAGTAAACTGTTTTCATATACAAGTCAAATTTTTATAAACACAAACTGATTTTTTTCCAAGATCAGAGACTCTTTATTTTCATTTCCAATCAGTTGTTTACTGATTTAGCATCCTTGCTCCCCTCCTCTCAGGTAGGTCATGACCGGCCTACAGGCTTGGCATACTTAGCCTTGTGGTCAGCTGTTGAGCTAAAAACATCATCGGTACACCTATTTTCTAAATTTAAATATCTGCATGCTGGAATTTCTTAAAACCCAGTACCCTAAACCTCACAAATTTACAAGTACTGTACAACATTTGTACATTTGACAGGAAATAGAGCCTAGTCAACTCAGGACTGACTCAGATGTTTAGAAAACATTTCAGACAAGAGCTCTCTTTGAAAAAATCACAAGTAAACAGTGTTCGAGCAAAAGGTACAAACAACAGTTTCTAAGAAATCATCATCAGTTGCCTCAATTTTCCCAAGTTCTTCTGTTCAGACAACTGTCTCACAGCTCCCCAAATTTTCCCTGACAGAGTCACACTACTCAGATTTGTTCTTCTATAGAACTTATACAATTTGTGCCATGTATGTGCATGGGTGTGAGTGTGGATATTTTTATGCACACACATACACTGTACATGCACACACACACAAGTATATATACAATCCCCAGAGCATTGTCTAAAAGAGCTCTTACAACTCAACAAGTAAAAGATAACTGAAGAAAATGGAGAAAATAAACAAACAACCTACAAATGCAGTAATAGTAACATACAATAAATATATACAAAAGTTCAATTTACTATCAAGAAAAGAAATGAAAAAAAAAAAAGAGAAACACTAAGAGTTTCAGAAAATTTCCATGTCTGATTTTTCAACATTCTTAAAGTATTATTTCTGAGTGTGGTGAAGGGTGAAGGTGTGAGCAAAGAGGATTTTTATTTATTTATTTATTCACATATTTATTTTTTTTTACCAGGTGTGGGGTTTTATCTGGTATAGCTCCCTGGAGAAGCTAGTTTGATAACGTGGATCAAAAGCCATATAAATATGCTCATAGCCTTTGATCTAGTAATTCTATTTTTAGGGATTTAGTTTGAGGAAAAATCATATAAACACTCAAAGATTTATAGAAATGACATTCATTTTATCATTTAAATAATATTGCAAAATAGGAGATTCACAAATGTCCAAAAACAAGGGGATTAGTTATATGAAACCAGGCACATGCAAAATGGAATCCCTTGTTTGGAAGAATATTTAAAGATCTGGGGAATAATCACAATGTAATCTTTATTGGATAAGTGAAAGACACAATTAATAAAATATACTGCTTTTTAAAAGTAGATGTTTGCGCAGGAAAGAAAAACAACATCTCTGGCTGGTGGGATTATGAGTGATTTTTGATTTCTTCATTCTTTGTTTTTCCATCTTCCAATTTTATAAAATGAAGTAATATATTCAGAAAAAATATATATAATAGAGTTTTAAATGAAAATCTTTAAACTAGCATTCCCCAAAATTAATGTATTGAAAGGGAAGGAAAAGGAGGGAAGGACAGGGAGGGGAAGCCATACCACATATGGGACACAAATCCAGGGCAGCTACGGTGGCACTACATCACACATCAAAGCTTTGCAACAAGCCAGAGGACACCAGCTCAGATAGGCCGACTGAGCTGTGTGGGGTCAGATGGAGTCTTTGTTTCGAGACCAAAATGGTCCATAGCCTTGAGTCCCTCATTTTGGAATTTTATCTTTTCAACCAAGTCTTACGTTAAAATATTTTAAAGGCATTACCTTATACAATGATATGCTGCTGTTCAGTCTTTGATAGTAACTATTTTCACAGGTTATCTCCAAAAACTTGTTAACTTCCACAATTCTACTAGTTACTTGTTTTTCAGTGAAACAGCTGTGTTTATTTCTTCTGATGATGTTTAATTTCCATTCCTGAGTATAATTTCTATGGAATAAAGATAATGAGGGTATTTTGTAATTACGCTGGAGATTTTGTAAATATCATCCATCTTCCCTTTAGTAACCAATGCGATATGTTTTCTCCTTATTTTTGTATAAACAGAGTGATTCATTGATGTCCAAACCCTGTTCTGCCTCTACTTGGTTTGGAGTAGCAAGAAATTTAACAACTGTCAAGAAGTGGAGTGGGCAGAGGGTAAAAGATATAAACCTGAGCAGTCTACACACACACACACACACACACACACACACAGAGACACACACACACACACACACACACCCTACCGCAGACCATGTATTATGGATGTCAGAACAGTAAACGCTTAAAACTTCAATCGTCTATGGTGATTAAACAAGTTCAGTGGGTCTTATCCCAGGATGGGAGGGTGGCCTTGGTTTCATGAGACCTATAAACAAACTCCTATTATTTTGTTTCTGCATGTGTGTATGTGTATTAGGTTTTATATCGCTCAGGGCAGGATATTCCAATGCCCTTCTCTTACTGTTGCATAAACGGAAGCCTGGAGTTTTTGCCCTAAGCAAAACCGTATTAGCACTTTCAATGCTTTACTAAAAAAAAGTGAGTTTGAATAAATTTTATAGTTGCTCCTTCTGAATCAGAAATTAATTTGGACAAAATTAATAGGAAAAAATTAACAGTATTTTTAGAAGAAATTTTTTTTTTTTTTTTTTGAGACAGAGAGTCTCGCTTTGTTGCCTAGGCTAGAGTGAGTGCCGTGGCGGCAGCCTCGCTCACAGCAACCTCAAACTCCTGGGCTCAAGCGATCCTCCTGCCTCAGCCTCCCAAGTAGCTGGGACTACAGGCATGAGCCACCATGCCCGGCTAATTTTTTCTCTATATTAGTTGGCCAATTAGTTTCTTTCTATTTATAGTAGAGACAGGGTCTCATTCTTGCTCAGGCTGGTTTCGAACTCCCGACCTCGAGCAATCCGCCCGCCTCGGCCTCCCAGAGAGCTAGGATTACAGGCGTGAGCCACCGCGCACGGCCGAAAAATTTTTAAAGACAAAACGTTTGCGCTCTGATGTTCTCTTACACTGCACTTATGATATATAGATCCACACACCAAATGCAGCAGACGTGTCTTGTTAAGTTCCCTGTGTGCCTGACAAATCTGTGCCCACCTTAGACTCTTCCGGTTCCCCTTCAAGTCTACAGTAGGATGGGAAAAAGGCAAGACTAGCACTTACTGAGCTCCAGGTGTTGCACCACGTATGTGTAAGAGAGATGACTATTTTCTTTAGGTTCGGATGAAAATACCAAATCTCAGAGAGGTTAAACAACATGCCCAAGATCACGCAGCTGTTACAGGATGATGCCAGGGTGCAAATGCACATCTGTTTGCCCCCAAAGCCAGGAGTGCTTTGCACAATACTAGACTTTCACAATCCACGTGAATCTGGCCCTTTCACCGTGGGCATGAATTTATATAAGATTGGCCAGGGCTGGAGAGGGTATAAAGCTGTCACCACAGGTAAAGGCAGTGAGTCCGTGGCCACGGAACATAATAGAGCTACTTGGCCCTTGAAAAGGGTTCAAGATCCCATTGGCAGCATCTTTTCGCAGGTGTGTTTGTAAAGTTTCCCCAACTTCAGCCTCACTGAGGTGGACAGATATTTCCAGATCTTGTTGACCTGTTGCTTTCAAGGACTAGAGGGCCCGAATATTCACGTCTTCCCAGATCATATTTTATTCTACCTCTGAAGTCCTCTATTCTTAACACTCAACAAATACTGCCAGACTGATCGACCTCCCTGTGATGGGACACTGTGCTGGGAATGCGAGACAAGCAGCACAAGCAGCCCTACGCCTGCCACCACGGGGGCTGCTGTGAAGCTGAGGCCAACTGACCCCAAGCTGTGCCCACCACTTTCCTGCTACAGGCCTGGCCCATCCCATCCCAGTTAAAGGAGCCACTCACTTCTGGCCATGCACAGAAGGGGTTTTAAAAGCCCCTGGCTCTCTCTCTTCTGAGGCCCCTCACCCAGCCAAACTTGCTGCTGGTCAGCCTTGGATCTGATTATTAGATTTCTGCATGTGTTTTTCTCTCTACCTTCGTTTTTTCAACCCCAGCATGGAAAACTCTCTCTCCTATATCCCCTTCCTTATTAGTTGACGTCTTCCTTGAAATTTAATGCGACAAATTATCAGTTCCCAGAAGCATTTGATTATTAGTAATGAATTCCTATAAAATTAAAGGATTACAGCTTTAAGGGTAGAATTAATTCCAGGCATAGACTCTGGTCTTTGACAGATTTCACACCAAACTACAAAGGCTTTCTCGCCTGAGTGGGTGCACACACACACACACACATCACACACACATCCGTCCGCTAAGAACAGGATTATGCTTACTAATCACCCCACATTTGAAGATGTCTGCATCTTCTATGCTCCTGGGTGTCCAAACCAACCTGCTGTCGTGCAGAATCCTGTTTACTGTCAAAACCATTGTCAAAGCTGCTTCTCCCACCATCACTTTGCTCTCACACTCATCAGTCTCCAACATCCTTTAAGGTTCATCACCAGGGCCACACTGAGCCACATCATTTTCTTGCCCTCTTCTATCTGCTGCCCTGTCTCTCCGTGTCTGTCTGACACCTTACCACTATCTGTCGATTCCGCTTTTGCTCCCTAACCCAGGCTGAATTTTCCACTCTCCATATCAGAAAGATGGCCAATGCCCTCTGTCTCTAACATCTCCAAGTGATGGTCACAGAAGACTGGTGGTCTCTGCCCTGCCCAGAAGACTTCATTCCTTTAAACCATGCCTCCATTCAATCAGGACTAGGAGGGAGTGGTGTTTGTTTTGCTTTTCTTCTACTCCACTTGCAAGTATTCATTCTTCTTTAGCTTGCCATGAAAAGACCCAGTTGTGACCCAATTCTCCCTCAAAAAAAAAAATCACATAAAATTATCACTTTTTTTAAAAGAAAGAGTTCTTTAATTTCTTTCTGACACCTGGGAGCTCCTATGTATAAAAACAAACAAAGATGACCTCATTTTGAGCAAAAACCACAGCAGCGATACCAAGGTTTCACCGTGATATCTCACTCTGCTGTCAACGGCATGGGTGATAATGATCAGCACTCAGTCTAGAGGAACTGACAGCACACTGTCACCATGCAGCTGGCCCTGAGCTATTTCCTACAAGTTAGCCTCAAATCTCTGTAAAAATATGTGTGTAGGTAGATGCATATAAAGAGAAGCAAGTTCGATAAGAGTGGTTGAGGCTGTCAGTGGTTGCTTTCATTTCATAGAAGTTATGCCTCTTGATTATGAATACCCTGGCAGAATCCAGGGCTATGTCATGAGTAGACTGCAAAGGCCTTCTCGTGTTCCCTCTCTCACCACCCCTGGCTGTGGGCTTGTGATTGGCTGCCAAGCACATACATACCTCCACCACTGAAACTGCCACCTAACTCCCAGGGAACCCTTGCAAACCAGACTAGGATGGGTTGACATCAATCCCATCCCTCCTCCCCAGCCTGGTGATGCCACCCAGGAAACTGACACTGCCCCCTACCCCACGACATGTCTATATTATTATAAAGTCCAAGCCATTGATTTCATTTGACCAGAGGGTCTACACAACAGGAGAAGCTGAATTTTAAAACTTACTTTCTTTTTAATCTTTGCTTATCATTGACAAGTATTCCTTAAAGGGAAATCCTATTAAGATAATATCTTTTCAGTGAGATTATTAAGAAAATAAACATGGGAAGATTGATTTTCTTTTTTTTTTTTTTTCAATAATGAAGTATGCTGTAGGAAGTGTAAGAGAGAAAAAAATTCATGGATTATCTGACCTTTCAGATAACTGCATATTTGAGCTGCTGAACAAAGGCCAAAAGTGCTATGAAATTGTATTCTAATTGCGAAGAAAAAGTGTACTCACCCCATTTGCAAAAAGTAAGATCCCCCGTCATCTAACTCAACTGGCCAAAACTCCAAAACATAATCCTCCAAAGTAATTCTGGGTGAACTGCCTGGGTTCAGTTCAACACGTTCATGTGCTCTGTTGCTTCTGTACCATCTGATGGTGGTGGCTTCGTCCTCAGGCCCAGGTGAAGAGCAATATTTCAGATAGAAAGGTTCCCCTTCGACTGCATTTATGTGGGTACGTGAAGTACAAGTTTCTTCAAGAGATAAGCAAATAAAAGAAGAAAAAAAGAAAACAAAAACCAAAATGACAAAGATAATTTTTTTCTCTCCTAACGCATTAGGTGAATAAGCATGGTTAGTAAGAAAGGTCTGAGGAATCTCAGTCCCTTTCCTGTGGGTTCCCTTACTTTAAGGTCGATGTTTTCAACACAAGCAGGCATGAGGTGCTTTCAGAACATAGGTGAAAACACAACTTCCTACAGCTCCTTCCACACAGGGAAAGTATCAGAACTTAACCTACCATCGCTAGGAGACAGATAAGTGTAGTGTCATCTTTAAAAAAAAAAAAAAAAATTACACATTACAATTTCTTCATAAGAAAAGCCGCAGAAGTCACAGTGTTGCCACACTTAACCCAAAAATGTCCCTAGTCTCCTTGGAAAACAAAACAAACCTAGAGATCTTGGCATTCTGGCATTCTCCATCTGCACCATCGGACTCCTCACCTCCCTTGTGCTCAACCAGTCTACCGCACCACTCCCCTGCAGGTGTGGGGACGGTGGAAGGTGTGCCTATATAACGTAGGGTGTGAGGAATTGCTCTAGGTTTCCATGTGGATAATCAAGAATTGCCTAATATAATATCAGTCCAAATTTTGGTGTCTGTCACTTTCCCTCCCTGAGCTGGCTCTCTTTCTCAATGAAGCCAGATTCTCTCGCTTTGGAAATGTACCTGCTCCTGTCATCTACACAAGGCAGGTGTTCTTCTTCCTCCTTTTGTACTTCTGGTAGTTCAAAGTCAGCATTAATGGGACTTTCTCATATCCTGTCCTCCAGTGGCTCCAGGGTGCACTTTCGCTGCATTTTAAAAATGAGAATCTTTACATTGAATGAAATACTTCCCTGGGGACCTGGATAAAATGCCCTTTCTATAGCTAGGGTTTATTTCTCAAAGCAACAGTCTGGTTTTAAGTCAATGCTGTTAACCACAACATAAAGAGGAAGTGGCTCGAATGGTAGAGGCATTCTTTGAAAACATGGATGTCAAATCTACCTTACAGCACCAGAGTTAATGAGCATCAGCCTTATGTTTGGTGGTTGTTATGCAATCTCTGTTTCATATTTCAGTACTTCAACATGGAAAGTATGACACATGTGTATATGTTGGTGTCAGTTTTAGTTGACATTCATAACTATGATAAGTCACTAACATTTAGTTTATTTTCCTGTTTTAGAGATAATATAATAAAGTACACAAATCATACAATACATGCTCTTTTGTTTCTGGATTACTTTGTACATTTTTATGCTGTGATAGGCGTCCATGTTGCTGCCTGTATCAGTGGTGTGTTCTTTTCTCACCATTCTGTAGTATCCAATTGTGTTACTACTTGACAATTTATGCATTCTCTAAATGAATAAATATTGGGGATTTGGGTTATTGGACAAATGCGTATTGGACATTTGGGTTATTTCCAGGTTTCCAGGTTTCGGCTAATCTTACAAAAGCTTCTATAAACACAGGACTGTATTTTGATGGATATATGCACTCACTCTTCTTTGAAGATTGTTACCATATGAAGAAAACTAATGTGAACTACATACTCTCCAGGCTGGGTGGTTGGCAGTGAAAGTTCACTCTCCCCAGGCAGCTAGTATATCTAATCTCATATCTAATAACATTAGAGACCTTGTTGGTTAATATAATGCTAGAAATCGTTTATGATTGGAGAAATGAGTAGAGTTCAAAGTGTGTGGAGTTCAAAGTGCCAGAATAGGCACTCCCATGCTTCCACAAACAGGGTTTGAGAACCCCACAGGGCCAAGAACCTATACACTAGATGGAATATGTTTGGAATTGTCTTGAGTTTGGACAATGACACCATGTTGTCACCCTAGCTTTAACTAGGTTAAATCAATCCTACACATAGAACATTATCATATTTGCTTAGAGGGAACTGTTCATGAGAGGTGCTCTCCAAGTTCCTAAAAGGACAGAACAGACATCCGAGAGTTTAGTAACCTTACACTACAGGCTGTATAACTGTTTCTGTGCCTGAAACACGTTTTCATTGTAACTGAGAGCAAAGTTATCAGTGTATATCCATAAAACACGGGACCCATTACACACCTTTTCCAGCATCTTGCTTTTCCACTTAGTACTTTCTGAAAGATCATTCCATGTAAAGAAAAGAAGATTTACCTTGTGCCTTTAACAACTGTGAAGTATTGCATTGCATGGATCTCAACAATAAATGGATCCACTTAAGTAAATACACCCCAAGATTTAGACCTGTATTATTTGAAAGTATCAAATCTTAATTTGCTATCTCTTTGGCAGTAATTCTCAAAGTAGGGGACATGGACTCATGTGTTTCCCTCTCCTAGATAATAGATCAAGGCAAAGTATTATTTTTGCTCCCTCTTTCTCCTCTGACACCTAAGGAAAGCCTTGGAATCGTGGAACTCTTCTCCAAAGAATGGGGCCTCAGACTCTTAAAAAAAAAAAAAAACTCAAAAAACAGAAAACCAAACCTCAAAGCAATGACTACTAATAAATTAAATTGGCATTTGATATCTGCTGAGAAGCCTACTGGAGCTCCCTGGCCTAATTGATCTCCTTTTTTGTATATTCCTTGTAACTCTACTGTTTTGTTTTTTTTTTTTAATTTCCCTGAGCTATTTTCCATTCATTTTCCTTATTATTACCTACCTAATGAGATGAATTTTGGTTTCCTTTCTGGAAGGAGACAGTGTGTGTAAAACTTTCTAAAAATCAATGATAAAAATGGCTGTTACCTCCTTGGTTTCAGATAACACGAAGCAAATTTCCATCTCAGGCAAATCTAAATTATTTCAAGATGCAAGTTTTACATCCTGCTCTCTCCCAGTAGACTCAGAGGGCTGGATCTTTTCTATTTCAACAATACCACATGTGTCTCCTTTACATGTTCTCTGTCCTGTGAATCTTTCACTCACTATGCCAGGAATGCCAAATGGTTGGCAACTTTCTAAAATAAAATTTAAAATCACTCATTTCAATCAATTCAGCACCTTCAGTAGCTAATGCCACATAAAAAAAGCAAAACTTTAATATCCCTCCCAGATTATTAATGAGGTATGTTTGTGAATTTTTATAATCACTTACCGGAGGTTCTTATGAATATAAGTGCCCAAAGTGCCAAGGATAATTGTTCATGATGCATGTTTAGGATACTGCTTCATTCAAATGGCTTCTCTGGAAATAGAATAAGACAGATTCAACCAAAGCTTTCAAACACAAGCATACCTGTCTTATGAAGAAGGTTTAAAAAAAATCTTCTGGCACACAAACAAAAAAAAAAAAAAAAAAAAAAAAAAGACAACCAAGAAGATCTTCATATTCCACAATATAGCCACCAATTCTCAGAACCTTCAGACATATAAAATTAATAAAATTTCACAGCAATGAGTTTTGGCTCCCAGAAGAAGTCCCTAATGACTCATTTTTCTAATACAACAGAGCTTGATGAATTTGAGGCCTGGTCTGCTAAATCCTGTCTCCAAGGCCCAAGTTGAGGACAACAGTATTTCTAGAAAATCTATCATTCTGTGAATAAACAGTTTGTGACATCCCAACATAGGACAGCAGTCTGCACATGTAGGAATGTGTGTGTGTCTGTGTGAGTGTGTTTTTTCACACCAACATCTCATCATGATTTGTAATTAGATTCCCATTTGTGGGTTGAATTTTTAAAACTCCATCTTCTTTCTTCAGAACATAAGTTTTAGGCCAGGCACTGTGGCTCACGCCTGTAATCCTATCACTCTGGGAGGCAGAGGCAAGAGGATCGCTCAAGGTCAGGAGTTCGAAACCAGCCTGAGTAAGAGTGAGACCTCGTCTCTACTATAAATAGAAAGAAATCAATTGGCCAACTAAAAATATATAGAAAAAATTAGCCGGGCATGGTGGCATATGCCTGTAGCCCCAACTACTTGGGAGACTGAGGCAGGAGGATCGCTTGAGCCCAGGAGTTTGAGGTTGCTGTGAGGTAGGCTGATGCCACGGCACTCTAGCCTGGGCAACAAAGTGAGACTCTGGCTTAAAAAAAAAACAAAAAAACAAAAAAAACCCATAAGTTTTATATGCCTAGGAACTAAGTCTATTATATTTTGCTCATCCCTGTATCACTAAACTCCAGCACGATACTTGGCACATGGTAATCACTCCCTACCATTTGTCACGGAAGAGAAGACCTGTGTATGTGTGAGTGTGCCTGCACTCACAAGCCAAATGTGTTTATTTTAGGGAACAGGAGAGACAAAGTAGCAGTTTCATACACTCCAGACTCCTTTACATAGACTATGACCCATGTAACTAAGATCTGCCTTAACTTTGATCCTGTTACAACATAACCTTTACCTTTCTACTACAACTTCAGAGAGCAGAATGGAAGAAGGCTCCTCCACAGTGGAGATCTTTAACTGAGTCTGAATATTTCATAAATTAACCCATTGTTCCTTGTTTACTGGGAGGAGGGAACTCAGTATGATGAAGAGTCTGGTTTCAGGAACACACACACAAACGTGGCTGGCATTCCAGGTTGAGCCCTGACAAGCTGTGCAGCCTTGGGCAAGTTACATAAAGGTGTCAGAGCCTGTGTGCACATTTCCAAAACAGAGATGATGAGAAAGCAACAGAGATGATGTCTCCAGCATTACTCAGTGATGAAATCATCTGGTGTTTAAGCAGACTTTCTTGCAGCCCATAATAATTCCCCTCTCAACTACTGCCCCTCACTTCCCATCCTAATAACAGGACCGTTAATACCCAAATGCAAGATAAAGTTGAAAGGCTAAGTTGCCAGACCATTGACATCCAACCTTATGAATAACATCACCAAATATTTGGTGGAATTTCCAAGAGATAATAATCAATAATATAAAGACAAAAGGGATATGTGTGTATGGAAAGTACCAACCGTTCATAATCAAATTAGAACAGTTCTATGGTTTGAAACCTCCCTGCTGTCCCACACATACTACATTTTATTATTAGCTCTGTCTATTCTTTTATTTTGGGTAGAATGAAAAGTGCTACTTCCTTTGTGTCACTCCTCTGGTTAAGGTTGACATAGCCTGGTAAAAAGCAACACTTCTTTTATTTTTTAAATTTTCAAGTTCTGCCAAGAGATAAATTTATTACAGATGATTTAGCATTCTGATAAGTTAACTCTGAGCTTCAACATGAAACATGTTAGGATCCCAGTATACAAAAAATAGGTGATATTCACACAGCTCTGTATGTGGATTTGTGCATATAAAATCTTTAGCATACTTGTTAAGTTTTTATGTGTGAATTTAAGAGATTAAGATTTTATTATATAATGAATTCATTTCCACAAAAAGAGCTATTCTGAGAAATGTCTTAGATATCTTAGCAAGTATTAATAAAATAGACATAGGAGGATATAAATATTCAATTTCTTGCATGTAGGAATTTTAGGGGTTTTTTTTAGTGTTATGTTTGTTGTTGATATCATTTATTTTGCTTTCTCATAACATTAAAGTTTCTTTCTTCTTTTATTTCTATTTTAAATTTTTTCTTATTTCCAAAGCAATTTACACTCACTGTAGGACATTTACAAAATGAAGATGGAGAGAAGAAAATAATCTCAATGTGCATGTTTTCTTGGTCTTTTTCTGTATAGTCTCAATAATTAAGGTGATGTTCAAATAATTTCATATCCTGCACTTCCAAAGAATATTATATGATAAACTTTTCCTGTATTACAAAACTCTTGTTGTTAACATCATTTTAATTGCCACCTAATATTGCTTTATATGGATATATTATCATTTATAAGATGTTTTATGTTACGAAATAACCCAAAGCTATCCTCACGTGTAAAGCAGTATAAGTCAGATTTTTGGAGCATGAGCTCTGATGTTAGCCTAGCTGAATTTGAATCTCCTTTCTCCCGTTTACCAGCTGAATAACCTTGGGCAAATCACTTACCCTCTCTGTGCCACAATTTCTTTATTCATAGAACAGGATAGCAATACTACCGTGTTTCCCCGAAAATAAGACCTACCAATAAAATAAGCCCTAGCAGGATTTCTAAGCATTTGCACAATATAAGTCCCACCCCAAAAATAGAAAATTAAGACCTAGTGATGGGCGTGGCTATGCAGCATATCTGCACAACCCATGCATTTTGTCGCAGAGCGGTAAAGAAGACGAGCAGCCCTTCTCATCTGCCCCATCATGACAGCTACTATTCCAGAGGTGACCAGAAAGGTGTGGGCAGCCCCACCAACAAGGTCGGCTCCCCCTGTCAGGTCCTGGCCATTCTGTGCATGCTGCAAGCTGAGGCTTTGAGGGGAAAATAACACATCCCCTGAAAATAAGCCCTAGGGTGTCTTCTTGAGGAAAAATAAATACAAGACCCTGTCTTATTTTTGGATAAACACGGTATTTCCCAGGGTTGATGCAAAGGTTATATGAGTTAATATTGCAAAGTGTCTGGTGAATCATACATACCACTTAAAGATTAGCTATTATTATTTGTCTACATTTCTTATTATTTTCTTCATGCTACTATATGGCAGTGTAGTGACTGAGTCAAAGAATACATTTCAATTGTACTTAAATGATAAATGCACACGGCCAAACTGCATTCCAGAAATGTTGCAATAACTCATACTCTCTCCCTCAATAGCACAAGACAGTATTCATCTACTGTCTTGAGCAAGCATTGAGCACCTCCATTTTCAAATCTAATTAAGTAGTCAAACTGGAAAAGTGGTATTTACTTGTTTTTTGAATCTGCATTTCTTTGGGTTATAAATGAGGCAAATAATAATAGTGTGTTTTTAACCATTTTATTTCCGTTTTTATGAACCATCTCTTTATGTCTTTTGTCCAGTTCACAGATATTTAGTGTTTTGACCAACTTGTTCTTTAGTTTACTTTTAATCTCTCTTTTGATTTGTTAACATATGGAAGGTTTGATATTGATACAGTCATATTGATCTTTATTTCGCTTTGTGATTTTTCCATTACTTTTAAGTGCAGAATATTACTTTCCTCTCAATGGTCAAATAGATTCTTATATCTATTTTCTTCATTTTGTATGGCATAGTTATTATTCATTTTCTTTTACATCTAACTTTTTTCATTCACAAACAATTAATTGCCTTGTTTGGCATGAAGAGAGGGCCTAACTGAACTTACTTTTCTCAAATAGCTACTAATTATTTTTCCATCATTAATTAAATAGTCTTGTATTTCCTCATAGTTTGTTGATGTCAGGTTATAATACTACGCAGGTCCTTCCTGAACACTGGAAAGTCTAGCACAGCCTGCTTGCCCAAGTGCAAACATACACACACCACTCTCTCCCTACTCTCCCACCTTGTTTTATTTTTCTATTCATAGCACTTATCACTAACTGATATATTTTCACTTTATATCTACTTGCATGTTTATTATTTGCTTTATTTTTTTGCTTTATTATTTGTTTTATTATTTGCTTACTGATGAATGAATTAAACCCATAAAATATATACAGTTTAGAGTATAGGTGACCATCTGATCCATTGGCAAATCTTCATAATCTACTTCAATGCTTTTTAAATCCTGACATCTTGAAAAGCATGTTTTAGCAACTAACGTGAAGCCTAGGACATTAGCTTTCACTTATGGCTTGGACACAAATAATGATGTCTGGTCTCCACCCAGCCATCTGGAGTACAGCCTGGGCATTCTGAACCCTCAAAGCTCCCCAAATGATTCCACCATACAGCCAGGGTAGAGGCCCACCAATCTAGGGGGCTTATTTGTATATTTATAAAAGTAGATTCAATATATCTTAAATATATATATTTAATATTTGTCCATATATATATACACACACACACACACACACACACACACACACACACACACATCCAAAGAGAATAATCACAAATTTATCCAATGGCATGAAGTTTTATCTAAATGAAAAAAAAAAGTTTTCTTCCAAAAATTGTGTGACCTAGGTGAAGGTCAGATCCAAGCTGACCACTCTGTCTACCTTGGGACAGAAAATCCTAATACCAGTTTGGTTTGATTCTTGTTTTGGTTTGTTTTTTTAAAGACAAGAGTTTCACTTTGTTGTGTTGCCCAGGCAAGTCTCTAGCTCCTGGACTCAAGCAATCCTCCTGCCTCAGCCTCTCGGTGTGCTACTGCACCCGGCTCACACCAGAGATTTTTTTAAACGCAGGCTGTCCCTGCAATCTGCACAAAGCCGATTCCCCAAATTTATCCCTCCCAGCCCATCCAAGGCCCCCTACCTGAGAGGTGTACCCCAGATCCCAGCACTGGGCTAGGCACAGAATGGATGTTTGTGGAGATCTCAAGAATGGAGCTAGGGAATTTGGAGAAATTAATACAATAATCTTGGGTCTCCATATCTGACTGGGATTGCCCAGTCATTAATTTGTCTGATAACCGTAATGCAACCTGCTGGACATGTTTAACTTCTAGAGGCACATGGGTTAAAGACAAAGGTTTTGAAATCAGGAAAAGTTAGATGCGAATCTGGGATCTATTACTTAATAGCTAGATGCTCTTGGATAAGTGACAGAACTCTCTGCTTGCCCACCCCACCTTCTTTCACCAAGCATAATATAAAAACAGTTCCTACTTCATTGGGCCACTAGGAGGATTAAGTGAAAATGATACCTCTAAAAGTTTTCTACACAGTGCCAGACACACAGTAAGCACTCGATAAATGACAACTATTGTTGTCACTTATTCTAGCTGTTCTCCCGTCTCCAGAAGGGAACTGAGAATGTAATAACCTCTAAAACTATATTGTCAAGGAAAGGTGACATACTGTCTGGCCAGTATTCATTCTCTCTGCCTCTAACACACACACACACACACACACGCACACGCACACGCACACGCACACGCACACACACACACACACAATTGATCATGTTTTCAGAATCTCTGCCTCCAAGGCTGGGCTTCCTCTTGCCCCGAGGGGCAGGGACGGTGCTGAGCAGAGCAGGCGCGGTGGCCCCAGCGCCCGTCCTTACCTGGCGAGGGGCGTCCCCGAGTCTGGGGCGGGGGCCGAGTTGAGAAAGCAGGTGAGAAGCAGCGATCCCCGATTGCTGTGAAACCTGAAAGGAAAGAGGCGTCGCGGGGGATGGGAGGAGTGCGATTAACGAGATAAAGCCACCAGAGAGGGTTACAAAAAGAAAAAAGGAACAGAAAGTAAGAGGAAAGCAAAAGCGTCTGGCAGCCCCTTGGCTGTGAAACCTGGTTGGCGAAGAAGGCTGCAGGTGGGGCGCTGCTCCCGGTCGGGGAGTGTCGCGGTCCGGGGTGCTCCCTCCCGATCGCGGGGTGCTCCCTGTCTTGAGGGGTTCCGGCCTGGGCGCCCTCGGGTCGGGCAGCGTGCGGGGGCACCGGCTCCTCCACCCAGGTGCCCGCCTGCGAGTTCCCCCGGGGACGACCGGGAGCAGCTGGAAAATCCCGGGGCTCGCTCCTTCCTCCTGACGGCGGCACCCCCACGCCGTGGGGACCTTCTGCCCCAGCGGCCCGCCGCGGTCCCCGGGAACTCCCCGGCGGCGGCCGGGCAACCTGCAGTGCCCGGAGGTGGTGCGCCCGTGCAGCTCGCACGCACCCTTCAGGCCGTCGGGCGCCGCGGGGGAGAACACCGGCGCCCCGGAGGTGCGACGCCTGCATTTAGGGGAACGGCTGGGGGAGGGCTGGAGAAAGGAAGGACGTCAGCCAAGGAGAGTCCCCGGAGTCACCTGAGCTCCCGAGGTGAGCCTAAGGAGAGGAGGGGCCCAGGGTCTCCTGTCCTCAGGTCTGCCCCAGACTTGCAGCATCCCTTGAGGGACAGAGGTTTCGCTACTGGGAAGTAATAAGAGTTGCTGAATCAAGGTTTTAAATTGCTTAAAAGAAAAAGAGGCCACAGGAGAATATGTGTTTCTAAATTTTTGTAGCATGGTAGAACTGTTTTCAAACAAAAACGAAGAGTGAAACCCTTGGCTGACAGGAAAACAGTTTAATGAGATAGTAATTTTTATTCTTTCTGCCCAATCAAAATAATTCATTATATAATAAATAGGAATAAAAATCATGTCATTATCTCGATACATGCCAAAAATGCATCTAACAAAATTCAACACCCTTTCTAGATGAATAAAGCTAAGAAAAAATGGAGAGTAGAAAGGAATGATCTTTCTTAATCTGATAAAGAACACCTCTAAGAAACCTACAGGTAACTTCATAATTAATTAATAGTGAAACATTTTGCTTCTTCCTAAGGTTAGTAACAAGGTAGAGATGTCTATTTTGGTTTGGGACAATTGCTTTGCAATGAGTGAAGAAATGAGAATAGAAGGCATAAAGATTGGAAAGAAAGAAGTGAAACTACTGATTTTGACAGAGGGCATAATTGTAGGTAGATCACTCTTTGAAATATAGAAAAAAAACTACTGAAAATATTAAGTGAAATTAGTAAGATCATGGAATACAAATTCCATCCACAAAAATCGATTGTAATTCTATATATTAGTGATGGAAATTTGAAAAATGAAGTTTGCTAAAAATATCATTTACAATAACATTAAAAAATCAAATACCAGTGTATAATTTCTTTGGAAGATGTACAAGGTATCTGTTATGAAAACTATAAAATATTGCTGAGATGAAAGATCCAAGAAAATGAAAGGGTGTACTATGTTTATGGATTGAAAGACTCATGATTGTTAAGATATCTATTCTCCACAAACTGTGGAGTTTATAGAGTCTGTATATTTTTAGGCTCTGTATATTATAGAATCTATATTTAATACAGTTCAATCCAAAACCCAGGAGCAATTTTCAAAGAAATTGAGAAGCTGTTTGTAAAATTTACATGAAAATGCAAACAATCTAGAATTGTCAGAACAATCTTGAACAAGAAGAACAACATTGGAAGACTCACACCTTACACCCATTTCAGGTTTACAATTAGGCAAGAGTATTAATAACCACAAAAGTGTGATATTTGCAAAAGCCTATAAATAGAAAATAGAAAGTAGACTAATAGATCCACACATGTGGAGTCATTTGATTTGTGACCAAAGCATTATATCCATTCAATGGGGAAGAAAGGTATTTTCCAAATGTTGCTGGAACAGCTGGTATCTCTATGGAAGAAGGGAAAAAAGAATCTTGATCCTTACCTCATTCTATATATAAATATTAATTCACAATGGACTGTAGACCTAAACATAAAAGCTAGAACCATAAATATTTCATAAAAATACTTAGGAGATTATCTTTATGCTCTTGGGGCAGGCAAATAAAATTCTTAGGACATGAAAAGCACTAGTCAGGTGAGACACATTGGTGAATTGGATGTCACCAAAATTAAAAATGTCTGCAAATCGGTGACATCATTTAAAAATGAATTTGCAAGCCTGGAAAAATTCTCACCTTACGTATATCTGGCAAAGAACTTGTACCTGCAATATGTAAATAATTTCTACATGTCAGCAATATAAAAGAAACACAATTTAAATAGGGCAAAATATTTTACCTTTACTGAAGATATGCAAATGCTCAATAAGAGCGTGAAAAGGCTCAATATCATTGTCAGAGAACTGCAAATTAAGACAACAATGATACTCATTTAAAACAAACTGTGATGACTAAAACATAAAGAAACATGATTATACCAATCATTGGTGAGGCTGTAAAGCCACAGAACTCTCATATATAATTGGTGGAAAATGTAAACGGTACCATTAGTTTGCAAAACAATTTGTCAGTTTCTGTAAAAGTTAAACAAACACCTACCTACCTTATGACGACTCCTAAGTATCAACTCAAAAGAAATAAAAACGTAAGTCCACAAGTATGTTCATAGGAGCCATAATCATACTAGCCATACTCAGGAAACAACCTTTACATTCATCAAAAGGAAAATGGTTAAACAAACTTGGTTAGCCATACAATGGAACACTACTCAGCAATACAAAGGAACAAAGTACTGACTAAGGCAAAATATGGCTGAATCATTAAAATGTTATGTTCTGTAGAAGTAGCTGCATGACTTTATTGATATGAATATCAAGATCTGACAAAACTAATCCATGGAGATAGAAATTAGAACATTGTTTACCTTGGGAGTGAGAGTGACTGGGAAATGGCATGATGAAACTTTCTAGGGTGATAGAAATATTTTTAACTTCTTTTGAGTGATACCTACATAGATACGTTAAACTGTCAAAACTCATCCAACTGAGGATCCACATTTTACTGTAGGCAAACTTGACCCAATTAAAAATAATTCTTTTGTGTTTTCATAATGCACAGACATTTTCACCATGCTTGTGTGGTAGACACCCAACAAGTCTTGGCTCAATTTGTTTTATTCACACTGCCTTGTGTGGTAGGTGAAGCACCTATTACTCTCATTACACAGAGGAAGAAATGAGAGAGGTGAGTGGTAATGGTGACATGAGAACCCAGGTCTTCTGGCAACTTCCTGAGCTCACTATGAGTGTGCAGCTTTGAATCATGAGCGATTGGTGCTGAGAAAGCCCAGAGTGGTCATCTTCTCCATCCTCCCAGTTTTCAGTTACAGAAACTGAGCCCCAGAGAGCTCAGGTGACTTGGAAAATGGTGTTAAGGTTAGGAAAAGGGGTAGATGGGTATATACAAACACTATGAGTGAGATGTGCAACGTTTGGGGGATGGTCACGCTTAAAGCTCTGACTCGAGGGGGGAAGGGAGGCATGGACAATATACGTAACCTTCACATTTGTACCCCCATCATATGCTGAAATAAAATAAATAAATAAATAAATAAATAAATAAGGAGAAGGGGTAATGGGGAGAAAGCTCAGCATGTCTGCTTCCTCCAGGCCAGCCCAATCTGGGGTTTCTAAAGTGCTTCCTTCTTCCCCCTGTGTTTCCATGATGGGCTCTGAACCCCCTCAGGACACGCAGGGGGTATTCCTTTCTCAGCTTTATAGCCATCGTCGCCCCCTTCCTTTCCCCATCCCTCCCAAAGAAGTACTCATCACACATTCAGAAAATGTAAATGTTGAATACTTGCAATGGAGCTTATAATCTAGACAGTTAACACATTAAAACATAAGAAATATGGGACAAATCAAAAGCAAAGTTATTATGGAGCCAAAAAGATATCATTGCAAATTTCATGTAATGATGTTCCATATACTTGCTGTAGAGAAATACAAAATTTAGGTCTGTGCTTTCAAGTAGCTAATGTAAAGAGGGAAATAAAATCAACTCCAAAATTCCCTGTGTTCATGGATTGAAGACACACCTGTCATTCTAGGTGGGTGGGGAGGGAGGGATAAAAGACACAGAAAGGCACATCTATTCCTAAGAGTGAGGCTGGAGAGAATTTATTCTCTAGAGGTCCTCACTGAATATAGTTACAGACTATAACCAACATTACAAGAAACATAGTGAAGTTTCATAATAGCAACTGTTGCCATTTATTGAATTCTTACTCTGGTCTAAATACTTCTTTTTTTTTTAATTTGATAAACACAGAAATCCAAAGTGTTTGATATTATTATACTCATTTTACCTAAAGAAGCTAACCTTTGGAGAAGGTGACTTGCTGATTCCAAATTCCATGATGTCAACCAGTCAGTTATATATACATCAATCTTCTCACTGGCCAATGTTTTAGTAATTCAATAAAACCAAATGGTAGCACATAAAAACACAATAATCTAACAACATAAAATAGTCAGACCTAGCAAATAAAAATAGAAGACATCCAGTTAAATTTGAATTTCAGATCAATATCAGATGAAATATCATTCTCTGAATTCAACTTTAATTGGTGTCCTGTATTTTTTTTTTTTTTTTTTTTGACAGAGTCTCACTCTGTTGCCCAGGCTAGAGTACCATGGCATCAGCCTAGCTCACAGCAACCTCAAACTCCTGGGCTCAAGCAATCCTTCTGCCTCAGCCTCCCAAGTAGCTGGGACTACAGGCATGCACCACCATATGCCCGGCTAATTTTTTCTATATATTTTTAGCCAGCCAATTAATTTCTTTCTATTTTTAGTAGAGACTGGGTCTCACTCTTGCTCAGGCTGGTTTCAAACTCCTGACCTTGAGCGATCCGCCTGCCTCAGCCTCCCAGAGTGCTAGGATTACAGGCGTGAGCCACAGTGCCCAGCCTGGTGTCCTGTATTCTATCTGGCAACCTAATCTGGGAGTTTAGATCGAGAGTATAGGGTACCTAGAAAGATGGGTAACCATAGATCCTTCTAGAAATATGATTCTAGAAATATGATTCTCTTTAGTTAGGATTCTGAAAGATATTGAATGATAGCGAGTTTGAGATTATGTTCCCTGTCCATAGTCAGGATTTCAGATTTTTTTATATCAGTTAAATACAGAATCATAGACTTTATTAAGAAACTCAACTGAAGGTTAGGATCTCTATCTACTTGTGAAATATGAGGTGCCAGCAGGGCTCCTAGCCTGAACAGACACTCTCGTTAGCTCTGTATCCATTCCTGTGGTCCCCAGGGTGTGTGCCTTCAGGGAACCGACCCAAGCAGCCCTGACTGCACATTCACTCCATTTTGGCAGAACAGTTTTGCAAAAATACCCTACCAATTTCATACAAATGTTATGACAAACAATGTTGTCTCAAATTTTTAATTTAAAAAAAGGAGTTTTATGATTGGGAGCTTTGAGATATGCTGATAAGGTCATTGCAGAATTATTTATAATGACAGATACGTAAGTTGTATCCCTATAGCACAGCCATAAGATGGAGCACTATCAATATTTTTAAATGTTTACAAACAATTTCAATGACATGCCAAATATTTGTATTATGATGTTAGGTAGGAAAAACGGAAAATTCCACACACGTAATCTCAGCTATCAAAATGGTATGTGTACAAATTAAAATTTTTAAAAAAGAAGAAAATTTACCAACACAATCTTAAAATGATTATAATCTTATGAATGATTTTTGTTATTTCCTTCTTTTACTTTTTCTTCTTCTATGATATCCCATCACTTTTATAGTAAGAAAATAATATTTCTAAAGAGAATAAAAATATACAAAAGAAACTTTAGAACTGAAAATAACTTGATCCTAATGGGGCAAAGGGATGAGGTATTCCAACAAAGAGGTCAATACTGGGATGATAAGACTGAGCGTCTGATCCACGGAAATAAATAAGGAAATTCTGGCATGTTGGGAACAAGAGTTACTACCAACGTTCTGAGTGGATCAGAATGTTCTTCAAGATGACATGAAAACTGACTGTACCACAATGAGTCTGATGTTCAGAATGGAGATTATGGACAAGGAATGAGGAGAAAGAGAACAAGAAATATGAAGAGAGAGAAAAAAAAGAGCACAGTGAATATATCCTCCCCTATAATGGAGGTGGAGAGAGAAAGGGAAGGAATTTGGGGTGCTGAGTAGGAGGAGGACTGAGAAAAAAAATTGTGGGTATTTTGCAACCTACCAGAATCTAGGAAATGGAAATAAAGTTACCAGATCAAACCTAGGCCTGAGCACCCTTGGCAGTCCCACTCCTCATGCCTCAGCTACCAGTAGCTGCCCATGTCTGGTCCAGGGGTATACCGCAGCTAGGAGGAGGTAGGCGATCCATAAAAGCAGATGCCTTAGCACATCCAAGCAAGCACTGTTGCTCCTGGGAAGTCAAACTAGAAGTCCTTCTGGGAAGTTTGCTTGGCACAGGCATTTGGTACCTCACATGCTTCCAGAATTTGGAATTCAGGGACCGCTTGTTGGCAACATGGTCTTCCCTCCACTTGATGGTGCCCTGCACTTTCATGAGATGCTTGAGGGAATCCTGAAGCCCCCCAACCTGCAGTCCATCTGGCTCGCTCAGGGCCTTCATTTCAATAAGAATCGCCTTAGAGTCGTTCTGGATGAGGGTGCTGTGCAGGGCCATCTCCTGCTCGTAGGCAAACTCCTTGCTGTGCGCGCTCTGAGGAGTCAGGATGAAGATGTGCCTTCTGCTCTTTCGTATGTTGGTTTCCACTGCAGTGGCTGCATCTGGTCACACAAGGGATGAATTAATATTTCCTATCATGGTTTTCTTCAGTCTAGTGCTTTGATCATAGATGTTCTGAGCATTTGCAAACTTCTTATTGTTGTAAGCTGGTGTGAGATTCTGACACTTACTCAGAAAAGTGGAAATGTAGTGGGTCAGAGAACCCGTTTTGTTCTTCTCATCCCTTTCACCATGAGAATATCAGCCCCAATGCCCTCAGTTTTCCCAAATTGACCAGTTCCGACTAAAACAAAGTCCTTCCAGCTCAATGGGAATGGGACATTTAGCCTATCATTTCCTAGGAGGCTTGGAATTCAGATTCCAAGCTACATATTATCTTTTTATTAATAGACTATTTGCATACATGTTTCAAAAGGACTTAATATTGTAATTCATATATGAAAGACACAAGCTCAGAAAAGCCTTACTGTTACTGAAAACTTGGCACTTGTCCAAGAGGCTGAATTAGAAGGACAAGGACGAGTGTTTCGGGGGTGAGGAAAGAGATTTTACTTTGCCAGCAAAGGAGGAAAAATGGTAGCCCTTCTCATCTCAAAATCCAAATTTCCTGAACATAGGCAGAAACACAGAGCTTCTAAAGGGAGGGTCCCTCAATTCTAGGCTATTGTAATTAATTACTCTAATCATCCCATCCTGCCAACTCTGCCAAAGACAACGCTTATGAACTCTGCCAGCCACCCACCTGGGGCAGTTATTTATTTTAACAAAAGACTTAACCTGCTTCAAGGATGAAGGCCAGGCTGCAGGTCCCAAAAAGACTGGGGGAAGTTTTAAAGAGACAGGAAATCTTTTTTTCTTCATCTTCTTCAGGTCCTTCCCTCTGTGACATTGCCCATGTGAACTGATCAAAGTCTCTGGGGAAGTCCTGGATCTACTTCACCCCGCAATAATCTCTGCTATAGGAGCTGATTTGAGCCAGACTAGAAAAACCTTAAGGAAGATGGCATGCCCTTTCCAAGTCAGTATTTATGGAACATCAACTCCATGGTGATTCCATTTATTAATAGCTCCGGGTGGACTTAGAAAGAACACGTGACACACTTAGTTCTCACTGCAGGCAGTAAAAGCATGGTGAGGAAACACAAGAATAAAGCAACTTGAGATATTCTTACAGAATGGTGGCTGATAGAGTGCAGATGCTGGAGGCAGTCCGACTGTCAGGGATGCTCCAAGAGGGAGGAGCACCACTGCCCTAGGAAGCCCACCTGGAGAGGCAGGGATGTGCTCACCCTCTGACCTCCTGCCTGTGCCTCCCACTGGCCAGCCCAAGCCTATGGTAGAAGGCAAGGGAGTGACAGGTTCCGTGATGATCACCTACTCAGGGCTGCCAGATTGTGGCGGGGAGGTGGGGCTACAGAGTATATTTGATGGGCAAAAGTAAGGTGACTAGCATGAGAATAAACACACTGCATTGGTCAATCATAAACTTTTCTAAGGTAAGAGTGAAGCTTGGTGTTGTTTTGTTGGGTTTTATTTTATTTCAGTTGAGGAAAGGTCAGAAGACATACACTGAAGGAGGGAAGTGGAAAATTATTCCAAATGAGTGTGTTGGCAGCACAAGATTGAACATCAGAGAGCTAGCATCTGAGGTCAACTGGGAGAGGGGTGGCTAAAAATGAGGTTGATAGACTAAGAAAGAAAAGATGAGGAGCTTGAGGCCAGATGTGGAACAGAGTATGACCTCACAACCAAGTGGAGTCCCTGAAGGTCGTTGGGCACACTTGGACCATGAAAAAAGCATTTGAGAGCATTACTCATTATTTCTACCTGCAGGGGTGGCCCGTGGGAGAACTGGGGAAGAAGAGAGCTTTGAGAGAAGAATGGATCACATTCTCCTACACTGTACATTTTACCAGTCTCTTGAGCCATTACTAGGCCACTCCAGGATAGATCAAATTCAATTGTTGTGAGTATCTTTAAATCTATAGGCACTTGAATCCCTCTTCTCAGAAGAATATCAATTTAAAATGTTAACATTTACTTCATTAGGCTTATGCCCATGTTATCCTGGCCCAAATTCACATTTCAAACCCTTCCTGATCTTTGACTAATTAGAAAAGAGTTTACAAGAGGGTTCATTAGGTATTGGACATAATAAGTATATGGAGAGAAAAAAAAATAAACACTTAAATCTTTGGAATTATGATAAAACTATCAAAAGTACATGAAATTGGCCCAAAATATTAAGAAGTAGAAGCCACAGTTCTATCTGTTCTGGTGAGACTATAAATTTTCAAATGTTTCACAAATACAAGGAAAATGATGAATATTCTCTGAGTCATTTAAAATATTTTAGCTAATGCTTATGGATATCAGAATAAAATTCTTCAGTTTTTAAGTGCTGTTTACAAATCTTTTGGAGAGAATTATAGTAAGATGTGTCAGAGTTATCCTAGGAGGGGACTGAGCAAAGTAGGGGCAATGCCCTGCTAAATCCACAAAGCAAAGGATCCCAGCTCTTGTCTTCACGTCACGGACATTACTGTGAAAATCTCATCACTAGGGCAATGATGGGAGTGGGGAGAGTGGAGGATAAGTATCTCCTCATTCTGGAGAAATATTTAAAAACCTCTGTTCTTAAGCCCTGGAGTAGTAAATGCAATTCCTTATTCAGTGCAGGAAGAAGGCGACCCAGCTCTTAGCCTTCTGATAAGCATGAACTTCTATCCCTGATGTATTCTGATAGCTTTACCTTCTCCAGGTAGCAGATCTCTCCCATAAATGCAGAGGTTGTAGCCACATTTATTTTCAAGAACATCAGGCAGAATCTGGTGAACAAAGTACTCCACGGGACTGGCTCCCTCCGGACTAGGTTTGTAGTTCCGAGGGTAAATAACATAAGCATCATAGATCTTTCCATCTGAAAATGAAAGCAAGAAGTACAACTGCATGACTTGATTCTAAAATTCTCATTGGACTTTTAGTAGACATTCCTTGCCAAGTTTTATGGTTGTTGGTGAATGTATCTCATTCTCCAAAATATTCTAGAATCAAAAGATGATGGTAAGCCACTGCCACAAAATGTGATCAGGAAATAAAAGTCTTCATCCCAAAGTCTTCCTCCTTTTTATTATCTCAGACCGAATGACAGAAAATGGACAGGCTCTCTTGCCTGTCTAGTGTAGTTAAAACCATTGCATCCAGCTTGATCAATAATCTATGAGGCAGTGTTTATGGTCACGGATATGGGCTTTCTTCTGTGCTGGATTGACCTCAGTTTCATCTTTTGTTTGCCCCATACTTCCCCTGGAGAGGTGAAAATATTAAAGGCTAATAGTGCCAAGGGAATAGAATTTTTTTAAGGGCTCCTAATTCTACAAGTCAAACAATTAGCTCCTAGTTGAGTCAACCGCATGGCAAATCTAATATTTGTCTGCCTCCAAATGAAGAAATGGTGTTCATATTTAGCAGGAAGAACTGTCTTCTTTCATGTGCATACTTATGTGCATAGGTAAGACTTCTAAGGAATGAGTTTCAGGTAAAATACACCTGCATCCTAATGGACCTCTCTAACCTGCTTACACCTGGAAAATAGGAACAGTTTTGTTACTGTCTTTAATTTCATAAAGTTTTATCAACACACATGTCCCAAAATATTTCAACTTTTCTGGGCGTGGGGCAGATCTGTTACTGGGGATTCAGAAGGAGCAGCAGTCCTACTGGGGACAAATTTGAGGTGTTCAGATGAAACTATGGACCATGAGGAGATACAGCACAGACTGGAGAATAGCCTCTGAGAAAACTCAAAGGAAAAAATCATTGAGAATATGTTGACAAGCAAAATGGAATCTGGGTTTAGTATTAACAGCATAGCTATTAAGAGATTAATAGACAAGTAACCAACAGTCATTATGGGACTTTTCTATGGAAGAAAAGCTTGAAAGTTGCCACTTACCATTCCTAGTTTTGTAAGGTCTAGCTATATCTCTCCAGAGCAGAATAACCTCAATCCAGAACACTTTTAGGATGATCACCAAGGCACTGATTAGTATTAACAAGATACTACATCCTGCTACTATATAGTAGGTGCTTTGATGATCAACTGTTCAAAAGATAGGGAGAGGAGAAAAATGATCATTATCATTACAAACAAGATAAAATAAACAAATACATGGGGGCTGCCCTCCACTGGGAGGACAAGAGATTGACCCAAAAGACATCCACTTGGAATTTCCATGGCTGCTATAAGCATCAGTAAATTACATTTGTTGAGCCCTTGTTGTGTACAAGACATCAGGCTACACACCATACAGGAGTCTAAGGGCAAAGGGACATACAGACACATGTAGACTTAGCTAAGATGGGAGGTAAACGTGTGATTTTTGCTACCAGAGGCTTTTAGAAAGAGAGCTCACTCCAGGAGAGACTGAACAAGGGAGCCTTCCTGCAGGAGGAAGAAGTCTCTGAAGAAGGGTAGGATTCAGAGAGATGCAAAAAAAAAAAAAAAAGGAAATGCCCTCCTGGCCAGAGAGATACTGTGAGCTAAAGTACAGACAGAGAGTGCATTTTCTGAGGAACTGGAGTAACTCAGTTTGGGGAATTAGTGGAAAATATGATCAGAAAGGTGGGTCAGGGATAGGTTCGGACCAGACTTGAAACTCCAACTAAGGCATTCTGCCCTATTGTGAGGGCCACAAGAGGGGTGGTGAGTGGGCTGTTAACAGTGAAGGTGGTTCTCATATAAGACTAATCTGATGGTAGTGGAAGGTTTGTTCCTGTGGGAAGAGATGGCAGGTACTCAGAGTAGAATGGGGTGTGGTCCTTGGCATGGGAGATGAGGAGGGTTTGAACTATTGCACTGAGAAATGAATGGGCAAGCCTGGGGTTGGGACATTAAAGAGAAAGTCTGAGAGACTTGTTGCATCTGAGGGTTGGTGATGTAGGAAAGCAAGGGAGAAGCAAGAGTCATGTAAGTTGCTAAAGCATATTTGATAAAGGAGTCCAGGTACTAAGTTCTAGGTCCTACACATGTTCCATATTTCTCTTATGACAGACACTACTTGGCCCTCACTGAACTTGATCCTGGCACTCCTTGCTTCACAAAATGCGTGTGCAACATGGCTTCCATCTTCAAAAATTATAACAGATTATGTACAAACTGGACTTAAGAACTATGATCATTCATGGTAGTTTTGTCCATTTTAAGTTTACTTCCCTCTTTAGGATTGTTAGCTATTTTATCTTAGAAATAGCCCTGTTTAAAGATGAATGTGAAAAGAATCCCAAATGAGATTTGGTTATATGGTACTTTTTCATTTTCATCTTAAGTCTTCATGCATGGACTCCCAGTTTTGACTCAGAAAATGACTGGCCCATATTTGTAAGTTCCTCTGTTACCTCTAACAGTTTATCAGCTCTCTGAGTATCCAGCACCATGAGATCAAGAATGATCAAGGTGATCTGGGGAAGCTGGGGGTAAAAAAAAACCCTGAAAATTGCCACACATCTTACAGTCTGCAGTGTCATCAGGTTAAATCATAAAACCTGTAAGTACATTATTTCAACTGGATTCCTGTCTAGTTCACCCTCTCTAAAAATCCTGTCTGGATGCATGGTAGGAACATATATTTCTTGTAGGGATTATTGTGAAGTAACTGTGCAAGTGGTTGGCTGCTTTCAACTCGAGGGAAGAACTTGATCTAAGACATTAAGGGAAGTTGAAGTTCAGTATCTTCCTAAATGTCAATGATTTTATAAATGTATAGGTAATTCCTATTTGTGATGAGAATACACTAAATACTTCCTATAAGTGTTTATAAATAGGAAAATGCTGCCTGCATTTGAATCTTGGCTCTATAACTATAGTATTTGGCAAGTTGCTCAACTTATTTTGCCTTTGTTTTTTTGTCTATAAAATTAGATGATAATGACAGTCTCTTCCCTGTGGAGCATTGAGAAAATAAATGAGAAACTTGAATGTAAAATAATTAGACAGAGTCTGGTACATAGGAAATGATGAATAAATGTGTGCTATTATTATGAATGTCAAACATTTATTTAATAATATTTCATAATATGGAGACATCAGCTTTTTAAGTTCTTGTTTTCCAAATTCAAGAAATGCTGTAATTTCAGGAGTGAAGGAATTTATCATGACAATTCAACAGCAGTAGCAACAATTTTCGTTTAATTTATACAGCTGTCAAAACAGAGAGCAACTGTGTTGATCTGAAGAAAAACAGGTGAAATACAAATAAACTAAAAGGAACAAAATCACCAAATAACTGTAACATGAAAAGAATTCAAATACACAGATAACCAGAGAACATTCACTAGCAATAATGTAAGCAAAGCATGAGGATATGGAGGCAAGGGGAGTATGGGAGGGGAGAATGGATAGATGGCTCCAGGGTCTGCTGTGCCCACCACTGTCCCAAGCATGGCCCTCACATAACACCCTGACAGGGTGCACAGCCAGCGTTGGGGTAGTCACAGTTATCACTGGCAGAATCCTGATGGCCTACAGAACATGACAGCACTTTAAGTCATCTCCATGAGTCATGATTCTATTTATTTTATAAAAACTTACACATTAAAGGTTCAAATCAAAATTAAAACCAAAAAAAATCCCTTGCACCATCTCAGGCAGAGACCTACCATGACCATGTCATATTGGTGATTTGCTTTCCTACACCCCTAATCCTTGCTCATCCTGGTGTGTCCTGTGTGTTTATCCAAGTGAATCTGGGCCACACCCCCATATCTGATGAACTCAGAGTTTAACACTCTCTTTGGCTATTTGATAAGCACATTAAATAATTTTCATGTAGTTATACAGCCACTAAAAAGGGACAAGTGTAAAAATGTATTTTTCTCTCCTTCCTTTTGTACAGCATCAAATACTTCCGATAACAAACAGGATGTCTTTGTCTGGACATGCAAAGAACAAATGACAAAACTGATAAGTGCTCGGGAATGAAATGCATGTAAAAACACTTTCTGAGACAACATTGAATTCACAGACACACCAAGAGAGTCGGTAGAAGGATCAGTCTGCCCTGTGGGAGGAGTATTTCATCACTGACGTTATTGAACATTGGATATGGTGATAATAAAAGGCACAAGGACTTGTGGACAGCTCTATTACTGTTTTGAAACCCCTATAGACAGCATATTGCCTTGTTGCCTGCACCTGGGAGGGATCAATCTCTCCACCCTGCTTTGGTTGTTTGTGATGCCACCCATTATCTATAAAAAAGAATGTTGCATTTTAAAAGATTAGACATAGTATCTGAAGTTAATCCATTAAAGATTAGTCAATTTCATATTGCCAAATTTTATTGTGTCAAATTATAATGACACCACCAAAAGCATGCTAGATTCAGATAAAATCACAGGGAAGCTATAAACAATTTGGCTTTCCAATTTATGGGGAAAGTTATTCAGTTTACTAAACATAAATATAAAATAGTGTTTTGTTGTATAATTAAGCCTTATGGCTAAAAAAGTAGAAATGTACAAACAATGTTTTTTATTGATAACTTTTTTGTGCATTCATTTATTCACTCAACAAAAATTTATTGAGCACTTGCTAGGTGTTAGGCACTGCACTACAGACTGAGGATACAAAGGTGAGTAAGATGCCACTCCTGCCCCCACACAGCTTACAATTGTGTTAAGTGGACCATCAGACAGATTTCAGTAAGACAATGATCAATGCAGCAATAGAGACAGGATGCTACAGGAGTACATGAACTACGTGTGTACCCCAAACTGGTGGTCAAGGAGGCCCTCCTGAAAAGGTGGTACCTGAATAGCATGTTGAAAAACAGATGCAATAAAGAAATGGGCCATGCTAGCAGATTTTCCATGAATTCCACCTAAATTTAATACTTCATAGATTTTAACGATGATAATGCGTGTCTTACTGAAATGTCAGTAGTTGAATATTCCCCTTTTTGTTCATTTTGCCATCCTCACTAACCAAATGTGTGTTCATTATGACCAAAAATAGTATAAAAGGAACATATTTATAATAGGTTATAAGAGATATAAAAGAGCATAAAAGGACAAGTTCACAGTTTACTGCTGGTGTGTTTTCTTTCAAATACAGTAAGAAAGATGGAGCTCAAGAAGTTAGAAAAGAGAAGGATGATCAAAGAAGCAGTTGAGTTTGCAAGAGGAACTGATGAAGATGAGGAGGGAGAGGAACAGGAGGAAGTAAAGCAGTGGAGAAGCTTCCCAGCCTACAGAAACATTCTGAGAAGACCAGATTGCATGTAGTCACTGTCCTCAAGAGGGGACACTCATTTCATGACACAGGCCATTCCCATTGTCTTCACAGATCCCCTAGATCAAACTCTAAGAAAGTGATTTCAGCTTAGAGTTGACACAGCAAACTCAGGTGGCAAAGCCTCAGGAACACTCCTTACTTGGATTTTTCCTACTTAGTCTTATGGTGTGCCTTCTCAAGCCATGCAAATTCAGGGCCAGACAGTCATACTTCAGCGACAAGTCCTCTTCCTTCACATCAGCTATCCTTAAAACCTTGGTTAGACAAGTCATCTCATTGCTGGAACTAAGAGAGCAATTTGTTATTTTTAATGCTTACTTTGCAGGTGCAAATTGTGTGGGAGGGGGATGTTTTAATTTCAATACACAAATACCTTTGGTTTTGCCCTTCCTCCTCTTCAATTCTTGCTTCACCAAAGTCCTTAACTTCGCTTCCATTGAGATGCCAAAGAACAACAGCCAAGAACTGAGCACCTCCCCCAAAGCAAGCAAAGCAAGTTATGTTCACTGTTTTTCCTAGATGGGAAGTAAAGAAATTCACCAATAAAATCAAATTCTGCAAGTAGTATTCAATTTCATTTAGTGTGCAAAAATGTTCATTGACATTTAGTGTGTGTGCTCTGCAATGATTTCCCTCCCTCATTTCTGGCACCTTCTTTCTGTGCCCTCCCTTGGCCTCTTTCTCTCTCCCTCTATCTTCATTTCACTCAGTTTGGTTTGAAACTCAGCTCCCACCACCTTTCACCCTCAGGGGAAACCAAGTCTGGCAAATGACTCAGGCGTCACTAACCCCACATTGTAGTGGAGGATTGCCCTTTACTCGAAATTGGAGATAATTTGACTGTTCTTTTCCACACCTTTCTCCTCCTACCAATTCTCTTCATCTCTCATAAGCTACCGTTGGAAGTAAATATGTTTTACCCAGCCCTGCTACCATCCTCCAGAAAGGGCTCTTCAGTTCTCCGTCCCACCTCCTAGATAGAAGAGAGGCTAAAATGAGATACACACAGGAAAGCACTGTGAATTATCAAGCGCAATACAAATGTAAACGTTGCATGTTGCTGTGCCCAGGGTTTCCAGCACTAGCTAGTGCCTGGGGCAGGTGCTTTCACAGGTATCCCCTCACTTGATCCTCAAGGTTCACTATGCTAATTGCCTGAGCCCTGCTAAAAAAATTCAGACCAGGGGTCATAAGGAAGGATTTTTTCAGGTGATATTTATAACATTCTTACCAATTTCCACTTCCTTTGTTTCATTATGTGGAGGAGCTCTAATTACTGGAAACAAAGAAAAGGCTTCCTCATCTTAAAGACAAAAAAAGAATACAATATTAGGAAAGCACTGGATGGTCATCAATATAAAGTTTATATATTCATATTTCTATCCTATTTCGTAGCAATGTTGCTCCAATTCTTCTGACAATAACCCATGGAAACACACACACATAGAGACACACACAAATGACACACAAAAAAGCATTTAAGTAGAACATATGCTGGTCTAAGCCATTACATTAATTGCATGACCTAGTAACTAGTAGAAATCTACAATTCTACAGAATAAGCATAAAATTACAGGGAAGAAGATTTCAAAAAACCCATGAAAATGATAAATGCATGAGTCCACAATTTTTCTTGACTTTCTGCACCATTGTGGCCCATCCTCCGTGAGAGAAGCCCCTTCCTCTTAAGGAATTCTAATTCCTGTGGCCACTGAGCCCAGAATCAGAGAAGGAAGTATCTTTTGGAGCACTGCTGTGATCCTCTACCCTTCACTGCTCGTTTCTCCCAGGACAGTGTGATTAAGGACCATTGCAGGGGTTGATGTTAAATAGTGAGAGGCACTAATAGGAATGCGATCTGGTGATGGTTATTTTACAGCAGGGAAGCATTGAAAAACTCCAAACAAAATTCCTTCTCCAATATTGCTTTGCCATAAAAGAACTTCTATATGCAAAGGTGCTACTTCATATACAACTATTGATCGAGCTGTGCTAAGGAGAGCCCAACTCTTTGTAGATTTCATAAGCTCTGATTGTGAAGTCTTTCCCCTGAACAGGCTTTTATAAAATTTAAAATAAATTTGAAAAAAAAATTTTTTAAAATGAAGCTACCTACTTGGTCATTGATGACATGGAAAGAGTTGTAAACCAGGATTGAAAACCACTCAATAATATTTACCTACACCATTGTACCCCCTCGTAAAGTTTCTCATTAAACTTCTAGTCCAGTGCATTATATAAAATATTGAATTCTTTTTTTCTTTTATTTACAGAGTCTCTGAGACCAAATTGGGAAAAGGAAAGTTATTCTTGCTCTCCAAAGAGTTGTATTGCCATTCAAAAAAATTAAATTAAGGCTGGGCGTGGTGGCTCATGCCTGTAATCCTAGCACTCTAGGAGGCTAAGACTGGCCGACTGCTCAAGGTCAGGAGTTCGAGGCCACCTTGAGCAAGAGTGAGACCCAGTCTCTCCTAATAATAGAAAGAAATTAGCTGGACAACTAAAAACATATATAGCAGAAATTAGCCGGGCATGGTGGTGTATGCCTGTAGACCCAGCTACTCAGGAGGCTGAAGCAGAAGGATCACTTGAGCCCAGGAATTTGAGGTTGCTGTGAGCTAGGCTGATGCCACGGCACTCTAGCCCAGGCAACAGAGTGAGACTCTGTCTCAAAATAAATAATAAATAAATAAATAAAATAAATAAATAAATTTTATTCTCACCTACCTGTGTTATCCTATTGTATTTCATATGTAACCATAGATCACCTTATATCCTTTTTGGAAAAAGGTTTATTTGGAATCAATCACTGGCACCCCAACAAACTAAATAAAAGCCTCCAAAAGCATTTTAATAAAAAAACTCCAAAAGCAAAAAAATAAATAAATTTTAAACAAAGTAAATTATGTTGGAAATTAAATCAAAAAAGAAAGACTAGATGTGGCTTTGGATTAGTAGTGTAATTTCCCCCTCAAATTTCTTACGTCTCAATAGTGCATTCAGAAAAATCTCTGCATTATAGGAGAGAATATGCAAGGGACAGTGAAGAAGAAGGAAGTACAAGGAGGAGTATGAAGGGTAAAACTCAACCAGAGGGGCCCAATTACCCGCCCCCCCGCCCCACCCCATCTTTTCTCAAATATTTTATTTTGTTACAGTCAGTAGCTTACCTTGCACCGTGAACGACCTGGTTGCCGACACACTGTAACTGACACCATTCTCGTTGTGTGTAAATTTACACGTGTAATCACCTGCGTCCTCACTCTTCACATTGTCAATGACCAGAAATGACCTGTGTGCCTTGTACCTTGATCCTTGAAGAGCTTGGCAATTCTGAAATAAGAAAATCCATTCCCTTTTCAGTAATTCTTCCCTTGCTTCTACTTATGTCCTTTTCATCTATCCCTCCCCTCAACACGCACATTTCCTTTTACCTTAAACCACTGAAGAGGTGCTGTCCAGTTGTAGAGGTCAACTGTAGGACAATAGATTTTGGAATTTTTTTCTGATCCAGACACCGTGGAATACATCAAATAATCTGGAATGTTGCAGTTCGGTTGTTTTTTGTATATGGTAACATTTGCATATCCAGTCTTATTGAAGGTGGGACTATTAAAATAAATCAGACAATTAAAGAGTCGCTTAGCATTGTGCAATAACTTAATCCAACTCTCACCTTTACTTAGTATTGCTTTTTTTGTTGAAGCAATTGATATATAGTGGCTATTTTTCATTTAAAAATAATCATTAAAACATAGAGTTTATACTTGGAGACTTTCTGTTTAAAAAAAAAAAAAAGAAAAAGAAAAAAAGAAAAAAACATAGAGTTTCAACTTCTTTTTGTTGCCCTTGAGATAAAATATAAGCCCTATAGTAGCCCTAAGAATGACTCCTTTACCATTTCTTCATATATTACATCACTGTATCTGCTGTAATGCCATGATCCCAGTGTAATAAAGGTAATTAGTATTTAATGAGAGTTTGCTATGCATCAGTCATGATTTGAGCACTTTACATATATTATTTCATTTTATTCTCATAATAATGCTTTTCTTTCTTTTTTTTGTTTTTTTAAGTGGGGTCTCACTTTGTTGCCTAGGGTGGAGTGCAATGGTGTGATCATAGCTCATTGAAGCCCTGAACTCCTGCCTGATTTCAAGGGCTCCTCCTGCCTCAGCCTCCTGAGTAGCTGGGACTATAGGTGTGAGCCACCACGTTCCGCCACGATACTACTTTGAGATGAATTATATTACTACAGCGGATGTATTTTACAGATAAGGAAACTGAGGGGTGGAGAAGGAATTTGCCAGCATTGCACAGCTAACTAGTGGCAGAGCATGAATTTGAAGCTGACACTTGTCTAGCCTCAGAATCCAGGCACTTAAATAACACATTCTGCCTTTTGATGGAGTCAATCTGATATTTTGTGCCAAATATGAGTACAAAATCAAAACATTTAGCAGTTTACATGCGGACTAAGTGATTTGTAGGCATGCAATTTCATGTAACCCTCTGTAGCTGAACTAAGTTTTAAGACACTGGCGACTGCCCTTTTTCACCCACCACAGACTCGCATGATGCCAAACATCCAGGTTACTGGGTTTTGTCCTGGTTAGTTTTTAATTCCAGCCAAAAGCGAGCAATTGATCACAGTTTCCTTGGTCACTAGGAAAGCTAGGTCTTTCTCTAATTAGGATACACATTAATTTCTGTAATTACAAATCCACATAGTTAGCTTATAATCACCTAAACCCCAACTGGAAGGTATTCCTAGAAGTACTCCTTTCTTAAGATCACTTTATAAATTCAACTGTTCCAGAAAGGACTAGGGAAGGAATAAAAGGGAAGAAAGCTCAGACTATCCTCCATGAAAGAATGGGAACAGGCTCAAAGATTGTGGTGGTTTTCTGGACAATACCTTCTGATGATGCACGTATAAATGCCAGAATCATCCACTTTGGCTGGTAGAAACTTAAGATTCTTGCCTGAGGAAAACACACGATTCGTTTCCTGTGTGGGAATACTTTTGTGTGTTTTTGAGTAATACCAATCCACAGGGTAATGAGATGCTTCATTTTTGGGACATCTCACAATTAAAGCCTCATTTTCCAGGCCCCAGGATAGTTTACCTGCAAATAAAAAATATAAACAAGATCTTGAAATGACCATATGAAAAGATTGTAATTCCTATGTTTTTAGTATTTCCTTCTAGGATAAAACTTAGAAATGGGTCATATTAATATATTATCATACTTTTGGAAAGAATAAGTAAATGATTGAGATATTTTATGAAATGATCTGCTGGGTATCACAGATTAATGAATTAATTTACAGCTACATCCTCCTCAGTGTTCCCATGGTAAAGCAGCCATGTCTATCCAAACAAATCATGTGTCAGTCAACAAATGCCTACAACAACCTCCTGTGTACAGGCACCATGTTAAATTCTGACAATGTGTAAACTAAATATGTAAAACCTAAAATTATGACATATTTGTTATGAATAATTTCTTCTGATTATTGATGAAGAATGATTATGGAGTGCATAATGAATTTCCTAGATTACAATTCAACTGGAACAACTGGAACCAAGCCACTGAAAATAAGGAAAATGTTCTTAGAATTACTTTAATTTTAAAACATTGACATTTTAGTTGAAAAGCAATACTTACTATACTTAGCTGCTGTGAAATGTATGAGAACTGTAAGAATTGCCAGGATCCAAAGCCCCATTCTCTGTTTATCAATCAAAGCCAAGTGTTGATAACTGATTGCTGAGATTACTCCAGATGAATCAGTAACATGTGATGCCGAAGGTTGCCACTAGGTTGCCACCATCAATCAATGGTGCTCCATAAGACTTATAGTTGGGAAGAGTAGTCAGTGTCTCTACTGAGAAATAAATTATACAAAACCAGAAACAAAATATTGATCAGCCATGATTTTTACTTGCTCAACACCACCCAGGATAATTAATCAATCAACATGTGTTTATTAAGTACAGATATGTATAACAGCAGGTTTCAGGCATGTAACATTGCATTTATTCCTACTAAACCTTTGGGTCACATAACTCCCACAATGATCAAGCTATTCCACAGTTATATTTTACCAGTCTCATGAGAATTTCCTGAAAGAAGCCAAATTAAGAGGAAAGAAAATGAATTTCTATTTTTGAAAAAAAAAAATCAAAACCACAAAATTCAGTAGTTTCTAGAAAATACAATATTCTATCAAGCCACACAGACTGGTGGCAGCATGCTCACATACGTAATTCACAAACAGATGCACTTTCATATAGTCATCACAAAGCAACTAAGAAGTAAAGGAAAGTGAGCACTAAAGCATTAGCCAGATAATTGCCCTAAACTCTACTCCAAACCCTCAAAAATTTGTCTCTGCCTCAGTATGTCCACAAGAATCACCAAAGGTTTTACAAGAATAGTGGAAGTTCTGTAATAACTAAATATTTTTATTTTTTCTTTCAGCAAACGAACAATTTACTATATTACTTCTTATCTGAAAAAGTCAGGGGAGGGATGGAACCAATATAGAAATGTATAAGCATAAGAAGAAACACAATAATTCTTAATATATTTCAAGAAAGTACATTTTCTCTAAACATGAATTGTAGACACTTTTCTTATTCTAAACTTTAGATAAGTAATTGATGCTTACCCAGAGAGAACGATGAAGCTAAGAAGAGTGTCCAGCCCTCTAGGTCCCTTCCTGTCAACTACTCACAAGGACACATTCTCTCTTTTATTTTAAAGAGGAACCACACAAAGACATCCTGTAATTTGCCACTCCACTCACCCTGAAATTTTATGTTCAGCCAAATCTACGTCTTGTCCAAAAATGCTGATGTGTCATGTACTAAGAATTCTTGGCATCGGTAAATAAATATTTAGACCTAAGGGAGACATTGAATAAGCCTTTCTGAGGATGTAATCATTTCCCCCTGTTTTAGCATTAGTTTCTCAACTGAATAATGAATAATGCGTGCTATTTACTTCCCTGATATTACTCTACTTTTAGTTCTAAATGATCTTGACATCTGGGTGTGTGTGTGTGGGGGGGGCTTGAGGCTGCTTTTCCAGCTGTTCCTTGACACTCCATCTGACAGACACTTGTTAGTTTTGGCAGCATTTGTGTGGACAGTTTCAAAAGCAAAGAATATACTTGGAAATGCAAGTCTGTAGTCCCAATGTGACTCAAATCTTATTCCCAAATAGGTCCCAGCTCTACAGAGTTAAGGCCCAGTAGGGCCTCAAATGAAAACAAAAAGAAAAGAAAATTTTTCTCATGAGTTCAAGGAAATAGAGGGAGGCTGTGACTGAGAAGTTTACCTCAAGGGTAATGACAAAGAAAACCATAACCATCAACTCTTGGGTTCCAAGTAAAACAAATGTTAATAGCAAAATTTGATTTTATTTATGCATGGTTGTGATGATCTTATTATGCCTAAACTCAACTTATTTTTAAAAGTCATCACTTCTCAGAAAGATTCAGGGACTAACTCCAGACCAGTACGCTAATACGTTATAATAAAGGCTAACCTTTCTCTAGAACTTCCTGTATGCCAGATTCAGTTCTAAGTGACTTATGGGTATTAATTCCTTCATTCTCATGATCACCCAATGAGGCAGCACTACTATTATCATTTCCATTTTATAGACAAGGACACTGAGGCACAAGGAGGTAAAGCAATTTGAACAGGTCACATAACACTAAGAGGTGGAGCCAGAATTTGAACCCAAGCAGGCTGGCTCTGAAGACTGGACTAATCACTGAATCGTACTGCTCCACTGAGGGTAAGAAAGGGGAGCTCTGTGAACATTTTTTTGAGCCAGTTTATTATAGCATCTTTGCTCCCCACAGTGGCTGGGTTGATCATCGGAGGATTGACCATGAGACACTGGTATAAATTCGAGGAATGAGGTCTGTTCGTTCTTACTCTTGACCTACTTGTGGAAGTTCTTATTATCAAGATTGTGTTCTGAGCTTGGGCTTGAGATCTCAGAGCTAGAAGCCAGCAAGTTTGGAGTGCTGCCTGGGGTTTGGTAAGCACCAGATAAGGGTTTGTTCAAAAACTTGGAATCGTTTCATATTTTGTATCCTAAAACATCTTTTTTAAACATTTATTAAATTTGGGACAGATGACGCAGTGGCTCACATCTGTAATCCTAGCATTACAGATGTGGGAAGCAGAGGTGGGAGGATTGCTTAAGGCCAGGAGTTTGAGACCAGCCTGGGCAACACAGTGAAACCCCATCTCTATAAAAAAAGATTAAAAATTGGCTGGGAATGGAGATAGGAATCCATTAAAAGGAAAAATTACTGAGAATCCAATGTGCTATTATCGCTACATTATCACTTTGGTGAGTCTGGCCCTGCAGAATAAAGCTTGTCCTCTTTTTTCTATTCTTAAAAAAAAATTAGCTGGTTGTGGTGGTGACTGCCTGCAGTCCCAGCTACTTGGAAGGCTGAGGCAGGAGGATCACTTGAGCACAGGAGTTTGAGGTTGCAGCGAGCTATGATGATGCTACTACACGCTAGCCTAGGCAACAGAGAGAGACCCTGTCTTAAAAACATACAAACAAACAAAAAGTTTGGACATTTATTCCTTAACTAGGCTACATGTGCATTGGTTTCTTAGTCTTACAATTAAAGTTTCAGTCAAACTTTTAACATCATAAATCATGAAATTTTGCATAAGCATTTAATAAAGTCTAACTATTGCTATAAAATAATGCAGTCATTTATTCAACAACTAAGTCCTTTTGCTCAAAGTATAATACTGTGTGGTACTTATCAACATCACTTAAACTTACAGATAAAAATAAAAACCCAAGAATAAGACTGGTTAAACAATTTAAACCAAGCTCACCTAGTTGTGGCTGGGTTTGAAACCAGACTTGTTGAACCTCAAAACCAAGCTTTTTTTTTTTCTTAACGTCAACTAAAAAAGAGAAAAATTTATTGGTAAAGCTCTTCTTTTTTATAATTGGGACTGGGTTACTAAATTAAGTAATTTAGTATAAGTAATTTAGTATAATTTAGTATATAGTAAATTAGTATATAGTAATTTAGTATAATTTAGTATATAGTAAATAAGTAATTTAGTATAATAAATTATACTAAATTAGTATAATTTCTTCTTCAAAAAGAACTAAATCATTTTGTCTTCTAACTACTCTGACATATCCAACACAGAATATAGTAGTTTACAGCAACTTAAGACAAACTAGAAAAAGGCAATGGCTTCTAATAAATTAATAAAGCAACAGATTTTAGTCAGCTATGAACTTCTTCCAAGTTAATCTGAACTCTTCCAGTGTCTGCTGATTTCTTATCTTCTTTTTAAGACTTCTTATAACTACCCTTCATTCAAATTCATCTAATATAATCCAACCTAATTTAACCATTTTTCCCTTGATTTGGGGTTACAGTTTTGAAATCTTACATGTGCTTATTTATAATCTACTTTTCTGACATTTCCATTAAAACAAACAAGCAAACAACAACAACAAAACTTCTATTTCAAGAATAACAGCTAAACAGCTAGCTTCTTGCATGAGAAATGTGGCACTCAAATATATCCTAACTTGGACTTGGCCAATGTTACAGCTAAATGCAAGATATAAATGTCTTAATAAACTCCAGAGCTAGTTGTGAATGGCCTGGTCTTACTGTAAACCCATGTCAAAAGCCAGGAAACTTTCATCACATTAAACTTGTATGAATTTCAGTGAGTCAGGCTTTCATTCAGTAATTCTCACAAAAAGCAAGGAGGTGGAATTTTTCCCTCATTTCCTTTAGAGAAATGGCATCCTAGATGCCATTTTTCCTCTATTTTTTTTTTTCTTGATAAAAATGTCTGTAGGGCCTGCCATGGATGGGGCAGACCCTGCATAGCACTGGATGGCCTGACCTGAGGGTCTAGAGAATGCACCAGGCTCACCCAGCTGCATCAACTCTGTGACCTTGGAAAAAGTGCTTGTCTCTGGGATCCCTTCTTTGACACACTCCAACCTCTAGGGCTGCTCAAGGCTCTATTCCTTCCTTCCAAGCTCTTTCTTGCTTCATGCAATTCTCCCCCCCCCCACCCCCACCCCAAAAAAACCCAGAAGAATCTAGTATATATTCAATGGCCACTAGAACTAACTAAAGACTTCGTATCTCCAGAATGAAGCTCCTGATCTCCTGCAGCCCTCCCTCCCCTACCCCTAAGAAAAGCCAGAGTCTCCCATTCTTTTCTTATCTCAATGACAGCAACTCCCTCATGAGTGTTGGCTCAGACCAAGATTCCCTACATTTGATGGATTCTTTTCTTGCCCACATATCTGAGCTGCAATCCATTGGGCTCACCTATAGATTTCACCTTCAAATAACATCCTACCTGCAACTACTTCTGCCCACCTTAGCAGCCATCACCTTAATCCAAGCCACCATAGCCTCTCACCTGGATTTTAACAAGGGCTTCTAATTTGCTGTCCTTATTTCTACCTGTGCCCCTTTTCAGTCTATTCCTGACCATGTTTCAGAGATTCTGTTAGAACCTAGGTCAACTCAAGGGGGGCCTCTAGTGTCTTTCAACTTCTCCCAGTTTAAGCAGCATCCCCAAGTTGGTGCTGAGATTGTACCTTTGCAATGAGACTCAGCCTGACTTCTCAATTTTCTTTTCTTTTTCTCCTTCTGATTTTTAAAAATTGAGGTGAAATTCATACAATATTAACCATTTTAAAGTACACAGTTCACTGGTATTGAGTACATTCACAGTGTGGTACAACCACCACCTCTACCTAGATCTAAAACATTTTCATCATCCATAAATGTAACCCTGTACCCATTAGCAGTCACACCCCTTTCCTCCCTCTTCCCAGCCTCTGGCAACCACTAATCTGTCTTCCGTCCCTATGTATCTGCCTATTCTGAATAATTCACATGTATGAAATCACACAATAAGTGTCCTTTTGTGATTGGCTTATTTCACTTAACATAATGTTTCCAAGTTTCATTCATGTTGTAGCATTTGTCAGCACTTCATTTCTTCTAATGATTGAATAATATTCCACTGTGTGTATACACATTTTGTTTATCCATTCACCCCATGATGGACGTTTGGATTGCTTCTAGCTTTTGACTATTTTGAAAAATGTTGCTGTGGACATTGTTGTGTAAATATTTGTTTGAGTCCCTGACCAATCAAGTTCAAATTGCAACATCTCCTCTCCCATTCTCTATCTCCTTATTCTGAACTAATCTTTTTCTAAGTCATTCATCACTGTCCAAGTTTCTATTTGTGTATGATGTTAATTGTTTATTTTCTGTTTTCCACCAATGGAAAATGAGCTCCGTAAGGCAAGATATTTTTGGTGGTTTTGTCCACTGATATAGCTCATGTGCCTAAACAGTGCACAGAAAAAAGAAGGTGCTCAGAAATGTTTGTAGAATGAACCAGTACAACTGGCTAGGGGGTAGAGTTTGGGGTCTGAAAAATAAAGCTTTTATATATGAATTTGAACAAGAGCAGTGTTATCTTCTACTATGCTCTTACTGCTTTCCTTTGAATCCCTTTTTTCTTTTATCTCATAGTTTAAGGTGAGGCCAAAGTCACTACTGGTGGGTCCCATGGGAACTCCTGAGCAGAAAAGGAAGTGAGTACAGAGCAAGCCAGAAGGAAATCTGTGGACTGAGGACAAACAGGAGAGAGAGGAGTAGGAGGTGCAGCCATGCGAAAAATAGCCACAATCTTAAGTGTTTGCATA